TATATAAATAATAATTATTATTGATAATCTCAACCAGTCCAATGCTTCCCCTCTGTGCCAATCAGCATCTCCCTCCCCTTATTGACAGTGAAATGAAAATTGTATTTTGAACACTGTATCTGGGACTTCCAACTTGTTTTGAGTTCAGTATACAGACGTAAATGTCTAAAGATTTAGCTAAATTTCACAAGTACCTAGGGGCAATTGGTGACCCAGATTCTGTATTGATTTTTTTTTTTTTTAAATTCTTTATTTTTGTAGTGCTTAGAGTTACAGACACGCTTATATCGCCACGACAGCAGATACAAGCCGATGGTATAACAAGGAATAAACAGTTTCATGGCAAAAATATTGACAGCACAATTTTTAAGGAGGATTCAGGCTAGATATAAATGTCTACAGCAGTAGTTTCAATCAGGCTGATAGTTACGAAAGGTAGAATAGACATTTTGGTTAACATCAGGAGCTTACAAGGATTAACAGACTATGTACAGGTTTAGGTAATATGCTATGGGTCCACTGCGCCACTACCATACTGTTCAGTGATTCGCTATATTGTAAGTTACATTACAGTGGTCTCAAGGCAGTCTAAGTTATATTAATGAAACATGTTAAATTATGCTACTCATGCACAATTTTAAAACAGGTATGACAACAGGGTTTGAAACTTGCTAAGTATATTTTGTAGGAGTATAACCTGCTTTAACTTTTAGGTAGCTTATGGTGGATAAGTATGTTAGCACTGAAGTGGGGGTAGAGACTATGTGGACTCATGTGAGACCCCTATAGAGGTTCGCAATACACGAGTGTGAGTCCCAAACTAAAAAATGAAAGGGAAGGAGAAAAAAAAAAAAAAAACTGCATAGCATAACGTCTCCTAAAGTCCAGGCTGTTGGGGCTGCACTGCCACAGTTTGGGGTCAACAATTTGGCGGGTCCAGCCAGTGCCGGTGTGCAGGAAAGCAATGCACTGTGTCTTGCCAGTCTGGGGGCAAACGCAGTCATGAGAGTTCCTCTGGGGTATGGGGGGGAAAGAGGTATTGGGCACTGTGCCTAATATTAAGTCCCCTTCTTAAGGTGAGTCATCTGATGTCTAGTTGGGGGTAGATGTGCTCCCCTAGCGCCGACAGTTGCAGCGGTGATGTGTGACAACGCCCGAGTGTTCAGGTGGTAATTGCTGCGTAAGTGTCTTTCTGGGTACCTTGTGGCACAAATGGGGTGACGTTGGCTGGGTCCCATCTGCTAATCGAGGGGCCTTGTTCTCTTTTTCCACGTTGTTGCAATATGTCTGCTGGGAGGCCCAAGGTTTGCAGGAGTGCTGCTGCTTTTGCATATCTTGCACGGAGTATACGGTATCCCCTTGCTGTATGTGCAGCTTTCGTGGCGGGCGCCACTGGTAGCGTATGTCGTGCTCCCGGAGTAGGGTGGTGAATGGCCTCATCGTTCCCCTCCATTGAAGGGTGTCTCCCGTGAGATCCGCATAAAAAGTGAGGGTCATGTTTTCAAAAGCATAGGGGCCTTTCCCCTGGAGTGCCGCTAGTACCATCGCTTTGTCCGCTCGGCTGCGGAACTTCACCACCAGGTCCCGGGTCGCTGTGGCTGGGGCTTTCCGGGGTTTGGGTATGCGGAAGACCCCCTCTGGCACCACGTTTTTGGCCCTTTTGGGTGTTAGAAGGGCCCCCAGTAATCTCCGAAGCAGATGAGGTAGTTCGTCTGTCGGCACCTCATCTGGTACTCCTCTTACTTTGAGGTTATTTCGGCGCCTTTCATCCTCCAGCATTGCGAAGCGCTGGTCCGTTAGGCCCTGTTGTTTTTTAAGTTCAGCCATTTCGCCCTGGAGCTCGGTTATGGCGCGGTTCGCGGCCTCTGCCGAGGTTTCCACCTTGCCCAGGCGGCACATCATGTTTTTAAGGTCAGTGCGGAGTAATGCCACGTCGGCCTGGATGATTTTTTGGAGGTCCCCCAGCATTGCTTTGAGAGTTGCCTCCGTCACAGGTGCTGAGGTAAGTGGTCCCGGCCGTGGCTGGGGTGGTTGAGGCAGCCCCACGATGCTTTCATCCAGAGACAGATCCTCCGAGGAGTCAGTCAGTCCTCCGAGGTCGGCGGCCATCTTGGGTCCGCATGCACCCTGTGCTTGTCGGAACATTTCTCCTATAGTCATGCCCGGCCGGAGCTTGTCCGACTTCTGCTTCTTTGCCTTCCTGCCCATGGTCAGCTTGGGGTCAGTTTCGGCGTTTTCCCTTTAATTGTGGGGATCTTAAATCAGCCTTAGTCAGTATCGCTCACGGAGCTCAGTTCACATGCGTCCGTCTTGTTCAGTTGCTCGGCTCCGCCCCTGTATTGATTTTTAATGTATGGCTGTTAACAATTCTCTCATGGATTTGCCTTAATTAGTCTTCTAACCAGCAACATTTTGATTGATTTACAATATGCTGTGCAGTATTTCAAAGGTGTTCCATTATCCGGATTATCCTATATGTTTTTCTTACACTTGCACGTGTTTTGTGTTTAATATTTTGTTTTATAGAAGTATGTGTCCTAGATGTCAGTTTAATTCCCCAATTAATTGTCTTGCTAACTAAAATCTTTAATTTTAATTAAGGAAAAACTGCTCTCCTTTTCTTACGATGCTTGCGGGATTAAACCTCTCTCCAGATTTCCTATGAATGAGAAGTATTTGACTGGACCTAAAGGGGCACAATAGTCACCAGAACCACAACATCAAGGTTGATGATCTCAGCCAATCCAATGCTCCCATTGGGAGCGCATGCACAATGCACTTTGCCAATCCGCATCTCCTCATAGAGATTCATTGAAACAATGTAATGCATCTCTATGGGGAGAATTCTGGGTCTCCATGCAGAGCATGGAGGCACTGAAGGTAGGTGCTGCACACTGTGCAGTAATGGGCTAGGAAGCACCTCTAGTGGCTGTCTTGGTGACTGCCAGTAGAGATGCTACTAGGCAGCAGTGTAAACACTGCCTTTTCTTCAATTTCTTAATGTCCCTACAGGTTTACAAAAACCTGTAGGGACATTAACTGTAGTTATTCTGGTGACCATAGTGTCCCCTTTAATCGTGTGCTGGGGGTACTTTTCAAGCAAACAAGTTTTAAAGAACCTATTATTGTGCTTAGATTACAACACAGATCAGTTGTGGCTCTGAAAGATTACCTGATCTCTCAATCAAGATAAATGCCAAAAAGAATAATCCGATTTATGCAGAAATAATGTTATTTGATTACTTTTGCTCTGCAAAACTTTCAGAATACTGCTAACATGGATGAAGTAGACCGTATTTTTAATCCTAGCTAAATTAAATAGCATGTAATTCCTAGGTCCTTGTTTGCAGGTAATAATGCTGCTGTTATTGTGTATATTTTCATCATTCTGTAGCTGAGACTCCCAGACTAAAGATAGCCTAGTTTGTTTAAATACAACTGAGGCACGCATTGGAGTCAAAGCACATGTGAGCCTTAAAAGGACCAAAATAGACTGCTGTCAGAGTTTGTACATGGAAATCTGAAATCTTTTCTGAAGCCTATGAAAATATGTCTGGACGGCATTTTAAAGCGACACTGCAGTAATTTAGACATATGGTATACATTTTAAAAAGTCTAGTGCATAGAAATTTGAAAGACAGAAATATTCTGTAGCTTAAGAATTGAGTCCGTGACCTGCAGTTAATTTGATTTTGCTGGTGCTGAAATAAAAGTTTTGCTATAATCTTTATTTATGAATTCGGATGATCTCTCCCACTAATTACTATTTTGCAACTTTTCTGGATATTTTTTCCCCTTTGAGTTACTATTTGTGTATCGCATTCTATTTTTTAATATTTACGCTTTTTCCTGCATCAGAAAAGTATTCTTTTTCAGGCGTCTTCCGTTGCCTTATCCCCAACGAATTCTGGGGGAAGTATAACGAACGCGTTTCAAAAGCTTTTAGAATTTAGAAGCGCTTTTGGAACATCATCTGTATTAGCTTTAAATGCCCATACATAACATATTTACGTGAATGGTCATGTAGTGGTGTCATAAATTACAAGATATTTTTCCTTTCCCAACTTGATTCTGTCCGCAATTGCACTAGTGCTTTCTTGTGCTCTCAGTTGAATCTGTAAAAACGAATTTTAATGACCTACTTATTAAATTTAATTTATGCAGGGTAATATTTAAATGCAAACAATTAGCATGTCCTGTGAAAACACCAGCAGAACGAAATAGCGAAATATTGCCGGTCATAGTGCCCGTCCTAAAGATTTTCCAGGGTTACTTAGTAAAGTGAGAATTTAAAGTAAATTTCAAATTTAATGGAACACTATAGTGTTGGTAATACAAGTGTGTATCTAATGCTTATAATGTCCTGTTAGCAATTTAGGTGTCAGAGTAAAAACCACTGGAGACATTTAAACCCGCAAAGTAAACATTGCTGCTCGCTACATTGCGGGGTTAAACATACTTGAACATATCACCCAGAAGACTTTATTGAGATAAAGTGGGCTGGTTGTTTATAGTGTCCCTTTAAGGTCAAACTAGCTGAACTAGAAAAATTCTCTAAGTCATCTATGCTTTCAGTTCTGCTACTCTGGCCTTAAGTGTGAACATCAGGGCAGGGAGAACTGAGTGTGGGGAGGACAGCATGTTGAGCGTGCTGGTGTCAAACACAAATTTTGCGCAGAATTAACATTAACAGGCTTAGAACTTGGTTCTGGGCTGGGTAATAATGCTACTAAAGAGAAAGTTACACCTCCGGCGGCAGAGGGGTTAATCTTCGTTGTGCATTGTTTTGTAGTGAAATGGTGCACATACAGATTCCAGACACCATACCTACTTCAAATCACTGAAGTGGTAATGGTGCTTGGAGTACCCCTTTAACTAAGTTCAAAAAGACACATATATTGTGTTGTGGTTTTTTTTTGTATAGCAATTCAGAATGTTTGTCAAGTTAGAACTTGTTAAATCCACGGAACCAAGCCTTTTAAAATGTTTTTGTAGTAGATTTCACAGGAGTGCAGTTTGGAACAACATGGAAATTTTGTAATTTTGTAATTTCTTGCAGAATTCTGTCCTCAATATAGCCTGTTTTAGAAAGATTATCACTTAACTTGGGAGTTCTGCATGTGACTGGATGTATTTGGAAAAAATAACATTTTCTTGCAAACATATATGAAATGTTATGTCCCTGGTTACCACAGGTGCTCATGGTAGATTCTGTTTTTGAGTCACCCCATGCAAGACACAAGGTAACTTTGGCACCTTTTGCATTTACTTGCAAGTTGGCGCCATTTTGTTTGTTTGCATTCGGTGCCGTTAAAGCGAAGATCTTCTCTGTGAAAATGCATATAATTGTGAATTTTATCTCCAGCTATTTGTAATGACGTCTGTTTTTCTTTTTAGGTACAATGCAGTGTCCGGCCAGTGGGTACAAGATGATGTATTGATCAAAATGGCTTCTCAAGTAAGTGAAACTTCTTGCCCATATTCTCCTCTTCTGCTTTTAGTTTACATTTTGCTTTCTGTCTTTGAAATCTGATCTCCCGTGCTTCCTGTATGTGAGCTACTTACTTTAAATGTAGTCTTGGTCGGTCTTTGGGCCAAAAGTCAGAAACACCTGTCAGAGGAGGAATGGTAAATAAGAGTGATGGCAACATCATACCTCATACCACTGGTATGCATTTAGTTTTAAGCTATCCGTTCTAGCAAAATCACTTAGAAATGTGTGGTTTAAAAGATCTGGTATAATATTCAGAAGTCAAATAGCTGTTAGCCATACCTAAAATGAGCTTGACACCTCTAAATGACCAGCTGCTTTTTTTTCCTCATTGCACAGAGTGTGAATGTGTGTAAATGCACAGCTGTGTTTACAGAAACTGTGCATCTGCAAATGTAGGGATTTGTTTTGATTGTAACAGTACTTGACAAGCCCTGTATTACTAGCCAGGCTTTGAAAGTCACTAGCCACTGCAAGCCTGTAGGGTACCTGGTACATAGAGGTGGATTTCTACTCTCCAGGGCTACATTTTCACTTAACTTGTTATGGATTTAAAGGTGCATTTGTTCAAAAGTCTGTCTGGTTGATTTACCAAGGTGAGTATTCCAAGTGAATTTCAAATTTTAAGGTTAAAGGAGCCAAACTGAAAAAATGCTTTAAATCAGCTATGCTTCTTATTCAGCTACTCTGGCCTTAAATTTGACATTTACTGGAAATTCTCACTTTAGTGATTAAAGGGATACTCCAGGCACCCAGACCACTTTTGCCCATTGGAGTAGTCTGGATGCCAACTCCCACTACCCTTAACCGTGCAGGTGTAATTATTGCCGTTTTCATAAACTGCAATAATTACCTTGCAGGGCTAAGTCCTCCTCTAGCGGCTGTCTTTCCCCTCTCATACTGTCACCTTGCTGCTATGCCCCTTCTTCTCCTCATCCATTCTCCCCTTCTCTATCAGCGTCCCCCCTTCTCTATTGGCGACCCCCATTCCCTCCTTATCTCCTCCCTCTTCTCGATCCGTTTCTCCCTTCCCTCCCTGGCCTTGAAACCTCGTGTTTTTCTCTACTCTCACTAGGTCCCCTTCCACTTGCTTACTAGTGAGATTGTTCTCATCCTGAGTGTCCATTAGAGCGATGGAGCCGTAGGGAGATATGCTTTGACTAGTTCTACACATAGCAATTCAGACATGATAACCATTTCATCGCATTGAATTGTTTATAATACCTGGAGTCCCCTGGTGCTGTCCATCCATTCAGTGTTAAACCATTTGTCAAGCAGTATAACATTAAATACATGTCCCTGGCCACCCACACGGGAGGTGTGGCTAAAGCAAAGCTTATATATTCCACGCCGAGGCATACCTGTAATGGGCACTTTGATAGGCTGAAAGCAGTCAGCTGACACTCTGCCAATTAGAACTGCCAATTGTTGTTCAGACTAATAATTCCTCATTAGCGCAAGCAGCTCAGAGGGGGAGGGCTGCTAGGGACTCTCCTTTAGTATTTAAACGTTAAAAACAGTTTAACACTGAATAAATGGGTGGCACCAGGTGACTCCAGACACTATAACCACAATGAGATGAAACGGTTACAGTGCCTATGGTGTCCCTTTAATTCCACTAACCACGGCTATGGCACGAGCTTCCAGAGCCCCTGATGCCAATAGTACAACCATCAGTGAATAGTTTTTACTCCGTACTGAATGCTGCTAAACTTTTCTAACTTTTCTTACTTTCGACTCACCCTGACCAAAATTTTGAGCCCTGATGTATTTATGAATTATTATGAATAGGTTAAAATATATAAGGGACACATCAGCACCATAATTACTACAGCCTTAACATAACCTGGGGCTGTCCCATGAACATGCCCCCTCCCAAAATATGTTTTTTCTTATATAAATGTATTAAAAATTTCGCTAGCACAATATAGAGATAAAATGTTTAATCTATCTAGTGATATCATAGTCTTATTTTATCGGATCATAGTTCTGCTTTATGAAAGCTTTATCTGCAAATTGAATTGGGATTTTATTTAAAAAATAAAAAAAAATCATGATTTTTAGATAACTTTTATTTCACAAAAATGTTAATCTCAAGTTTTTGTTGCTAGGCATTTGGTCGTGGAGCTATGAGAGAATGCTACAGAACGTAAGTAAACACAGAAAACTCAAAATTATACATTTTTACAATTTTATTACCTTCTTTGTTGTGAAGTTATTTTCTACCACGTGGCCTTTTGGATTTCTAGAAGCCTTGTATATGTTATAATGAGTCTCTAATAGAAAAAGTGCAGGCTAGCACATGTCTGTCTTCGTTTAGCAGCATTTTATAACTAGAAATATTTGTTACGGTTAATTATTTAGGGTGTGCAAAGCGTCTTTCTTGAAACACATTTATCCATACTTTTTTCCTTTTCTAGTACCAGAAGTAATTGAATTTAGAGGGTATACGTTTTCCATTAGATCCAATAATTTATTTACAGAACTCTGAATTGTAGCAAATTTAAATATGATTTATAAAATCAGTCTCCCCCCCCCGTCAATTATTTCTTCTGCATAGACCTCTATGTCAAAGAATTTGCTGACAGGGAGAGCAGAAGTCCTACACATCAAGTACAGTGTATGTGCCTGTGGTTGCCATGGTTACTCCCAAGTGGGAAAGTCTCTCCAACCAGGACAAATTATATCTGTTCGTGAGCACTTAACCCCTTAAGGACTAAACTTCTGGAATAAAAGGGAATCAGGACATGTCACAAGTCATGTGTCCTTAAGGGGTTAATGGGGTTGGTCAGAGCCAGGGTAAATGGTATGTAGGGGTGTGTGTGTATGTGTGTATATGTGTGTGTATATGTATATATGTGTGTGTGTGTATATGTATATATGTGTGTGTGTATATATATATATATATATATATATATATATAAAGGAAGATAAAATAGCACTCTCAGGACTATAAAATCCAAAAATAAAACAACTTTTAATTAGCTTATGCAAAAAATCTACGTTTCAGTCTGTTAACCACAGACTTTCCTGATGAAAGTCTGTGGTTAACAGACTGAAACGTCGATTTTTTTGCATAAGCTAATTAAAAGTTGTTTTATTTTTGGATTTTATAGTCCTGAGAGTGCTATCTTCCTTTTTGCATTTTGCTGGACAAGCACCAGGCAAACTAATTTTTTGGCATATGGAGTGCAGGATTATTTTTATTATTTCTCCCACCCCTCCCCCATTAGGTAAGAGGATCACATTTAATGAACCAATTGTTTAGAGATTTATTAACTAGACAGTGAATTGTAATGAATTAAAAGTCCAATTGCAAAATTCACACTGAAATAGTCTGTGACTATCATAGTGTTGGAGAAGTTTTCTGAATCTTGCTGTTTTGGCCTGAATTTTGCAATATGGTGTTAAATTCACTGGTTACTATTTTTTTTATAATGCACATTATCTAACTGGGTTGTTTTTTATTATACTATTAGAGTTAGATCTGTGCATGTTCTGCATACAGTGTAAAGTGCTGTTCGTTTTTTGTTTTTACTGCAGTGTATTAACATACATGTTGTATATTCTTGGGAGGGACGAGAGGAAGCATAACAAAAAATAATTCAATTCTTAATTATAAAAAAAACAAACAAAAAAAACAGCCACATAACATGTTTCATACAAGTACACTCAGTCTGTGCGTGTTCTAATTTTATCTCTAAAGATTCTACACTTTTTTTTTTCTTCCCTCTGACGCCTATGTTTATATTGTGGTTGATCATTACATATTTATATTTACATATTTAAATAAGATATTCTTATCTGTACCAGTAACAGTGTGTCTATTTGGTTTTGCTGTGCAGGAAAAAAAACTCCCATGACAGAGATAAAGAGACATAGATAAATTGATAACTCCGTTAAAAATAAAGTGACACTGACTTGCTTAAAGGGCTCTCTAAGCACCATAACCACTACAGTCCGCTAGCAGGCTACTGTCACCATCCCCTTGCTCTGTGTCAATTTGTTATCAAGCAGTTTAATGCAAATTAAGGGTTCCTCGGGAGTTCACTTCCTGACCTACTGCTAGCCACATTGCAACTACAGAAGTTATGTTATATTTCCACATTAGCAATCTTAATTTTGTCCCATAGCTTCCTGTGACATCATGGCTGTATTGATTTATTTATTTTTGCCGATGGCTGCAGTTTTAAGCAATTAATGAGCAGGGAGACAGCCCGTTGTTGTTTTTGTTGATGCTTTGATTGTCCCTTTCTAAGTTAATCAGTGTTTGTATGTGTAATCTTTTATATGCCTTCCAGGCCAATAAAATAAAGTTTGCACTTTTACTTATACCATTTACCAAGATGTGATCTTTTGAAAAGGAACACTCAAAGCACATTAAAAGGACACTGTAACACTATCACCATTTAATCTCATTGAATTGGTTATAGTGCCGGTAGTCCCCTGGCACCGTTCCTCCATTCAGTGTTAAACCATTTTTGAGCAGTTAAACATTACATGAGGGTCCCTTAGCACTTAATGCCATGCCCTGAATGGAGGCATGGCTAAGGAAGAGATTAAACACTTCCTTGTAGCCATACCAAATCATACCAGCAATGGGTGTTGTGATAGGCTGAATGCAGTCAGGGGACACACTCAGCCAGTCACAGCTGCCCATTGCTGCTCAGGTGAATGCTCCCTCTTAAGCCCAAGCAGAACAGGGGGAGTCGAGGGGGCAGGGCACTCTTGACGCCGCTCGCTGTAGCAGTTTTAGATTAGCCTCAATGTTGTGTTTTTTGCGCAGCAGGTTCAGGTGAAATATTGCTACATCACGTCTATCACTGGTTTGTTCGGTGCAAAATTAAGCAGGTTAGGCAAGAAGATCCAGGTTTGCAAGATGAGGTCAATTTGTTTTTGAGCAATTTGTGTTGACACTTTTTGTTGTTGGGTTTATGTGTTTGTTTATTTGCCTTTCTCAAAAGGAAAAAAACCAACCACATGCTTGTAGAAAAAAAACTCAGCATTCTTGCCCCACGGACACCTATAAAATATATTTAATCATATCTGGCATCCTAAATAAACAGATTTCACTCCTGCTGTACATTAAGAATGACATGCAGTTTGCATACTTTTGTGCCGAGTGTGTACCCTTCCTTATACATTATTGACATATGCTCTTTCAGAAGTTAATGTACACTTAAACATTTGTGACACTCCTATACATGCGTACCTATGGTATTAGAGACTGTCAATCAAGCTAAGAATAGGAGAATGAATAGACCCAGAAACTATATTGTGTTTTTAATATCTAAAAAAAAAATCTGTAAAATCACCTGTACAGAAATTAAAACAAATCTGGCGGCGGACACCGCTTTTTACGTAACGAGGAAAAAATAGTGCCTGATTTTGATAACCTGCCATAGTTGTGTAGTGGCAAACATGCTATCACTAGATTACTACAATCTTTTGTTCATGTGTACCAGGTATCAGACAAGGTGTTTTTGTTTTTTTGTTTTTTTAGATACAATATATTTGTAAAGTTTATTTTTACCTGTAGCCGTATGTACATTACATTCAAGAAATTTTATTTTACAGTTTTATTTCTTCAGAAAAAAACAAACTATGCACAAACTATTTAGCAAAATGTTATTCTCCTAAATGCATTCTTTCTGCATCTCATTAATATAATTGGCAATTATTTAAAAGATATGTGGAGAAGATAAACCCAACTCTTTGAAAATGTGTTTAATATTTATTTATTTAAAAATTTTTTACATCTTAAATAATTAACACAGTTGATTTTAAATTTCTTTCATTAATCATTTTATAGCCCTTTAAATTTGACTTTGTTTTTCTTGTGTATTTCAAAGATGAAAGGATAAGGTTGTTCAGTAGAATAAAGGCACCAGGGTTAATACAACTGTGGCAGAGTTTATCATAAAGAAACACACTGACCTTTTAAATAAGATAGCTGAAGAATAACAGCCCTGTAATAACAAGCTCAGCCTTGCTGATTAGATATTTCCTTAATTTCCTTTCATGTACCAGACTATGGTTATATTGTGTTACTGTAATGACATATATCTGATCTTAAAATTCAAGTTATTTTAAAGCCCAGTTACAAAACCAAGCAGAAAAAATACATGCTCATATGACGTAACCGAACATATTATTTTTTTAAATTCTTCGTTTAGACTGTGCACACATACATTGCAGTAGGTGCAGTACATTATGTGTAAAGACATCAGAAGAAAAAGAACATACAATGTACACACGGTTTATAGTTTCATGGTCCTGGTACAGAATTTGTCATTTGTACTCATCAAATAAGTGTGATAAGCCCTACTTAAAACAGTGGTAGTGGATGCATGGAATAGCCTTCCAGCGGAAGTGGTAGAGGTTAACACAGTGAGCGAGTTTAAGTATGCGTTGAAAAGGCATAAAGCTATCCTAGCTATAAGATAAGGCCAGGGACTAATGAAAGTATTTAGAAAATTAGGCAGACTAGATGGGCCGAATGCTTCTTATCTGCCGTCACAATACACGTTTATAAAAAAAACAAACGGGAAGGTATAGAAAATAAAAAAGGTCTTCTTGATGTATTCAATGTAAAGTTTTGAGACTCTCTTTATCTCCGACCCAGCGCCATCATGTTCTCTGGTCAGCCTTTGCTCTTCACGCACTCTGACGCCAACCTGGTGGCTTCATTACAAGCATACCAGTATCTGGACAGAGTGATGTCAGCCACTCTGTTCTTATACTCCCTAGTCGGTGCTCGCAGGATCGGCTAGAGTTGCCCTAGCAACCAGAGCGCTGTGGTTGCTACGTGTTGAGAGCAAAATTACCTCCCATGAAATTCCAGATTAGTAAATAAACAGTAATGGCTCAGAAAAATATGTATGCAAAGATCTTGTAATGCAACATTGACTAAATATTAACCGTATGAACACAATTACATAAATAACATTTGAAGCTAAAATCTGATTTATTTCACTTTGCAGGAAAAAACTCTCCAATTTTTCGCACAAGCAGCAGTGGAAAAGTGCTTATAACTATGTAGCCAAACGCTACCTAGAAACTGTAGATCGAGATGTATACTTTGAAGATGTCCGACTTCAAATGGAAGCCAAACTTTGGGGAGAGGAGTATAACAGACACAAGCCCCCAAAACAGGTAAAAACTTCCAAATGGTCCAGTTTAAATTAATGCTAAATTGTTTAAGTACACAAAAAAGGCTGTCGAAATATAGCTACCGCCATTTAATGGTCGGTGCAATCAACTAATCAGGATACTGCTACAATGAAAACTTTGGTCACTTTGCTGCTAGTAAGCATGGGACGCGTAGAGCCGTAGAGGCATTGATGTCAGAGATATACTATTTCCTTAAAGCAGTTGTGGACGTGGTCCTATATTTATTAATTTCACCATATTAATAATACTTAATATTTTTAATATTGATAAAATTATTAACTTTTCATTATTTTCACAAAATAATTTTAATATTTTTCCCCTAAATTATCCCTACATAGAGTAAGTAACTAGTGACCTGTGAAGAATAGGATACTGTAGGGATTATCTTGCGAGGGCAACAACCATTTGTGGTGAACTTGTGGAGCCCTGAAGCTGTCTCAGTTTTCGTAGCATGCAGACACTCATTTTTCCAACACCTTGTGGCAAACAGACCAAAGTTATCTCAGTAATCTAAGACCGAGCGGCACTAAAAATCCCTAAAGAAGCAACCGCTAATATATATAATATTATGAAAATGGGAGATGCAGTACACAAGGAAAGTGTGGGTAAATAAGAAACCTCTTACCTAGTTAAATCCACCCCTCTATAAATAGCAGGCCAAAGCAATATATCGCCTCACTAGAGACTCCGTACATGAAGCAATATTAAATAGCTCAGAAAATATAGCTCAAATCTTCATACAGCAGCTGTTTCCTCCTTGTTTATATTATCATATACATGCGCTGTAGCCCCTTTAAGGCTATTTTGGATAGTGGGTTACCTATCGAGCAAGTATTTGCAGCTTAAATATATATTTTTTTATGTTATTCCCCTATAGTCAGAGGAGATCTACCCTGATTGATGCTTGCATGTAGGGAGACAGATTCAGCACACAGGGAGTGATATCTGGTCTTAATATGGATTTAATAAGCTGTTACATTTTTTTTAATCATTTGTACATTCTGTCCTGGTAATATAAGAATTTTGTATTGTTAACCGCACAAAAAAAAAACTGCTGATAGCGAACAATTCATACAATAAGACACATCTGGTATAGTTATAAATCACTCTTCCTCAAATATTCCACTCAGAGTGTGTGTGTATTTTTTTCCAGTGCGTTGGAAAAATTATATATTTATATAAGTATCATATGATGTGTCTTGTGGACAAATTTTGAGTAGATGTTCCAAAAGATACTGTAATTGTCAGAACTGAAATGTTGCCATCTGATTTGAAGTATATTGAAAATGTGAATTTATTTTTATACAAATTGTAGCTAACTGAAAAGCTTTGTCTACAGTACAGTTAAATAATTTTTTAAAGGGACACTATAGTCGCCAGAACAACTGCAGGTTAATGTAGTTGTTCTGGTGAGTATAATTGCTGTAGGGAATTTGCAATATTTTTCCCTAAGAGCTGACTAAGATGAATTGTCCAAATCTGTTTTATGCCAACCTTGATTGACTAATTTGACGGTACTTGCTAAAACTGCAATTCTTCCGAAATTAAAGTGAATTTTCAAATTTGGGCCAAAATAGTTGGATTGAAAACACAGCTGACTTTTTTTTTTTTTTCCCCCTCTAATAGTTTTTTAATATAATTAATTTGGCCTAAAATTTTAAAATCTCTTTTAATAAACTTAGAAATGTTGACAATTTGGTCTCACTGTATATGGTATTGCTCGCTTGCTAATGTAAAACATATACATATGGTTTTATCCTGTCAGCAAGTATCGTTGGGAACATAAGCATGTGAGAAAAAACAGCTGAAGTCCTTTCAGTCAGCGTACATACTGTACCAACTACCAAGCTCAGTTTATAAACATCTCCAGGAAATTATTATTTTTTTTTGCTTGAGACGTGGCCTACGTGAGCATTGTATTGAGCACTTACATATTTACATTCTCCGGGCCTCTCCTACTGAAACGTGAGCAAGTCCCAGAGAGCAATGGCTATATTGTCATGTGACTCCTCAGCAGCTGCCCAGAAACACTGCTAATCGTCTGCTTACTCATCACATTTATGGCAAAAGACAACACAGACACATATTTCAAACAAACCATCAGGATCTAGCTATCTATAGTACTAGTATTTTGTAAATAAACATCTGTCTGTGCCCGCTGTCCATCCATGTCAATAAATCTGTCATTTATACACACACAAACAAATGTGATTTTTTTTGCCTTTTAATAAAAATATAAGGTGCTTTTTTGTGGATTTTTTTTATTATTTTTTTTTTTTTTACCGAAGAGATTTCGAGTTAGTTTGATTGGTTTTTGCAAATTTTTTTATTTTTTATTTTATTTTTTATTATTTTAGATAGGTCAGTCATTTGTACATTTCTACCAAAAATCATTTGCAGCAGTGTACTCTGTTGTACATTGATGGTATCCAAAGAGAACTGGTTTGCTGCTTTGATTGAAACTGTAATTATTTTACTCATTTAAAGATGCACATTGCAAAAAGAACGAAACGTTCAAGAAACTTTACCATGGCGTAAAGCACTTCCACTCAATGAAGATCCTTTGTGATTTTGTTTACGTCCTGAAAATGTTATACTTTTTTGATCAATTAGTATTTGCTCTGACCAAGTGGAAAAAAATCCCCATGGGCAACAGATATTTCCTTCCTGTTGTTATTCAGTAATTAGACTGTGATTGCATTGATATTTTAAGCTTGTTTGCTGACAACCCATTTACAAATCCTTCAAAATAGATTTTAGTATTATTACTTGTCTGTGTGTCGCCTTGATACCAAGACCTGTGGATACTAATGTACTATTGTAAATTAATTTGTATAACTTTCCTCGTAGGTCGATATTGTGCAAATGTGCATAATTGAAATGATAGACAGACCGGGCAAACCTCTGTTCCACTTAGAACATTACATTGAGGGAAAATACATTAAGTACAACTCGAATTCTGGATTTGTACGCGATGATAACATACGTCTCACCCCACAGGTATGTTAAAAAAATATCTGTCTACATATTGACATTTTATTTAGTTTTTCTTTCCCTTCCAACTAGTTGTTTGGGAACTTGCACTCTAGATTTTCCAAAGACCGAATATAAAAAAGGTTATAAAATTGAAGCATTTTATAAACCAAAAGAGTGGCAGCAGCCATGATGGTTTCATGGCCCAAAACTTGCACATCTCAGCTAAAAAAGAAATACATTTATCCGATTGAGGAGTCTCCTGTGATTAAAGCAATGCTTGTATTCAGAGGTTTGTGTAAAGCGGCTATTGTAAAGAAGTAGCCATGTTTTAAGAATACTGTGTGTTTCTTACATATTTTTTTATATTAACACTTCAATAAAAAGGCACAGAATACGTATCATTATAGAACATCCTCCAACCTGACGATGCTTATGTCTGTGTAATATACTAGTTGAAAGGAACACTATAGCATTAGGAATATGAACGTGCATTTTTAATTCTATCGTATCCTGGGTAGAGATGTCGCGAACCTCTCGCGAACAGTTCGCGGCGAACTCCGGTCAGCTGACACATCCCGGTCAATCTCCGGTAGACCCTCCCTCCCAGACCCTCCTACTTCCTGGACAGCATCCATGTTGAAGGCAGCTTCAACATGGATGCTGTCCAGGAGGTGGGAGGATCTGGGAGGGAGGGTCTGCCGGAGATTGGCCGGGATGTGTCAGCTGACCGGAGTTCGCCGCGAACCGTTCTCGAGAAGTTCGCGGACGGTTCGCGACATCTCTAATCCTGGGGTGGTTTTGTTGTCTGACACCTCCCCCACTCGTCAAAAATACGTGCATGAGAGAGTTTTTACTGTCTTTTTCCATGGCTGCACTGTTCTCTCCTTGACTGCCTTGTTGGCTGAGATGATCAATTTTTATGATGTCAGTCAATTTAAAGCTTCCTCATAGGGAAGCATTGGGAGGCTTGTGCACATGTGTGGGAAATTTGATTAGGGAGCAGCAGTCAATTAAAAACCAAGTTTGATTCAGTACTCAACATGGACACACCTCGAGTGACTGTTAAGAAAACTGCAACTAGAGGTGTGTTAACTCTGCAGTAGAAACAATGCACCTCTAGTGGCCAGGGGCGGGCTGGGCCAGGGGGCAGGGAGGCAATTGCCCCTCGGGCCACCCTAAATTCTTTTAAGACCGGCCGCTGCAGGGCCGGCCCTTTAAATTCTGCAGCCACCTGAGCGCTCTGTAAAGAGCCTCAGGCGGCTGCAGTTGCCTCAGGCGCGCGGAACAGGAGTTTCAGTTTCCTGTACCCGGCCGGACTGATAGGAAGTGCACACTCAGTGTGCACCTTCCTATCACTCCGGTAGGGCACCGCGGACCGGAGAGGAGGTCGGCCACGCTACAGGGAAGGGGAGGTGAGAGGAGGGGTAAGAAGAAGGAGGGGAGGGAGAAGAGAAAAGAGGAGGGAGGGTAAGAGGGGAGGGAGTAAGAAAGAGAAATGAAAGAGGGTGAGGGAAGTAAGAAAGGAGAGATAATAAGAAAAGAAGGGGAAGTAAGAAAAAAAGAAATAGAAAAAAAGAGAATTAAGAAAAAAAAGAGGGAAGTAGAAAAGAAGAAGAAATTAAGAAAAAGAAAAGAAAAGGGGAAGTAGAAAGAAGGGGAAGTAGAAGGAGGGAGATAAGAAAAAAAAAGAAATTAAGAAGAAAGAAGGGGAAGTAAGAAAGAAGAAGAAATTAGGGAGTAGAAAGAAGAAAGAGGGAGTGATAAGAAAAGAAGAGAATTAAGAAAGAAGAGAGGGGAGGAAGAAGAAGGGGAGTAAGAAGAAGAGGGAGGAAGAAGAAGGGAAGTAAGAGAAGAAGGGGAGTAAGAAGAAGGGAGTAAGAAAAGAAGGAGTAAGAAGAAGAAGGAGTATTAAGAAGAAGAAGAAAGAGAGGGGAGTAAGATGAAGAAGGGAGGTAAGAAGAAGGGGGAGTAAGAAGAAGTAGGAGGGAGTAAAAAGAAGTAGGAGGGGTAAGAAGAAGAAGGGGGGAGTAAGAAGAAGAAGAGGGGGTGAGAAGAAGGGGGAGCAATAAGAAGAAGGGGGAGAAAGAAGAAGGGGGGAGTAAGAAGAAGAAGGGGGATAAGAAGAACAGGTGGGGGAGTAAGAAGAACAAGGGGGAGTAAGAAGAACATAGGGAGGAGGGGGTAAGAAGAACACGGGGGGGTGAGGAGAACACATGGAGGGTGGAGGGGTGGGGAAGAGAGAGCTAGGGGAGGGTGGGGGAGAGGAGAGACCACTAAGAGGCAGGGGAGAGCTCTAAGGGACAGAAGGGACAGCTCTATAGGACAGGGGGCAAGACAGGTAGCTCTTTCACACTACGCACACACACACACACACACACACACACAATGCATCCCTATACATACACAGAAACACACAATGCATCCCTACACACACAGAAACACAACATGCTTCCCTTACACACAGAGAAACACACAATGCATCCATAACACACACACACAATGCAACCCTTACAAACAAAGACAATGCATCCTTTGCACACATACACAGAAACACACAAAGCAAACCTTTACACACACATGCAAACACACACACACTGCTTTTCTTACATACACACAGAAACACAATGCATCTCTTACACTCAATGCACACACATACAGACACACACCTTGCATCCTTTATGCATACAAACACAGATTCACACAATGCATCCCTTACACACAACCAGAAACACACAATACATCCCTTATACACAAATACACACTGCTTCCACTACACACAAACACACTGCATCATCTACACAAACTGGTATCCCTATACACTACATACCATAAGCTCACATATTAGATCCTCTGCAATAACACATAACACATACCCTACACACTCCACTCCCTGTGAGCGAACTCATGGGTGGGTGGAACATATAAGTGGACTTATGAGTGGGCTTATGGGCATACTTACCGTCAGGCCCTGGGGGCCAGACCTTAAACTGTGTAAGGGGCCCCAGAAAAATGGAGCTGCTTCCAATTCTCCCAGAACATTGAATTTTGTGACCACAGTTGCAAACAGCCTCCAGAGATCCTGTTCTACACCAGACCAGTGGAGCCAAACTGCAGCCCATCATCATCCTCATCTGGTTGTAAGTAGGCAATCTAGTATATTATTAGTGACACTAATCTATAATTTACCTCACATTAAATGGACACTATAGCTTAATGAAGTGGTTCTGGTGTCTATAGCCGGTCCCTGCAGGCGTTTTAATGTAAACACACACTGTGTGCAGCACTGGCGTTAGTTCATTTGGCAGATCATATGGGTGGGGCATTGTGATGTCACATGGGGGGGCGGCAAATTTTTCTTTTGTCTAGGGCGGCAAAAATCATTGCACCGGCTCTGATCCTGGTCTACTGGTGACCCACAGGAGGGGAGTGCACTGATTGCACTGCACTCTCCTCCTGCCCAGACCCGTCTTTACCGCAGTGCAAGTGCCCTCTGCCCCAAATTTACAGTGGCTCACACTCACAGCAAGCAGTGCCTGGAGCCCTTTGCAGAGACGGGAACAAAGAGGTTCTGTGGCAGCAGGTCGTCCTGCAAGCATTACGTTAACCAGCTGTTCCCCATGCAGCCACCGGTGGCGCTGTGCTGGGAGAATGTGATTACTCTTCACTTCCTCCCAGCCTACAGAGCAGCGCATGGGAGAGAGAGGAGGAGGCATGATTTAATCTTACAACAAATCCAGTAAGCAAATCTTTATAAATTTGGGGGGATCAGCTCTGTTTCCACAGTTTATTGGTGTTAACTTTGATGTCTGTATTAATTTTGAGGGATTTCTAAGTAGTAACGTCAGTGTGTGTCAGCAGGGCCAGCCGTTGGGGTGTGCACGCTGGGCGGTCACGTAGGGTGCCATGACAAAAGAGGCGCCCGGCGGCCAACACAGCTCACAAGTTGGGTACACCAGCATATTCAATTTAAACGATTCGCTGGTGGTCCACTGGTGCGCACCAGCAGTAGGTGCAGTCAGATCATATCCTCTCCCTCGTGGTTCTGGCGCACAGTTAGTGAGTCAGAGCACAGGCTCAGAGATTCTCAGCCTGCGCTCTGACAACATTGAAAGTCACAGCCGTGAAGGAGCGGGTATGGCAAAGAGCTACTGATTAGCATAACATCAGTATCCGTTATAAAACCAGGAAAAGGTGGGCATGGATGGTGAACTGATTTGGCGGTGCAATGGGCCACTTCACTGGTTTTGCCCACCAGGCCTAAGGCTGCCAGCCCTCCCCTGCTAGTGGCCGTTAGGAAGACGGCGACTAGAGGTATTTAAACCGTGCAGCAGAAACATTGCAGTTTATGCAGAACTACAGTGATTTTAATTGCAGTTTATGCAGGACAACTGCCCCTAGACCACATCATTGAGATAAAGTGGTCTCTGTGACTTTAGTGGTCCTTTAAGGTTTTTTTCCCTCTCACAGATTACAAGGTTCATCTTAATTTGTTAATGTTAGTATATTTTATGTCTTTTTTTTTTTCTTCTAATCTGCCATTTTCATTATTTATTTATTAACATTCTTTTTTTTTTTTAGGCTTTTAGTCACTTTACATTTGAGCGTTCGGGACATCAGATGATTGTTGTTGACATTCAGGGAGTTGGGGATTTATACACAGACCCGCAAATCCACACCGAAAGTGGGACTGACTTTGGAGATGGAAACTTAGGTATTAAATAATTACGCAGTATTGATCTTTACTTGCTCGATCATCTTGTCTCAGTTGGGCGACAACACAGACCACCGGGCAGCTGAGAGTTGTTGCGATGCAGACAGTTATACTTTTTGACTTGTTATTATCGGCATTTATATAGTGCCGACTTATTCCGCAGCACTGTACAATATTGTAAAGGGGAAAATTTTACAATAAATTAGATCATTTCAAATTGTTACAGCAACAAGATATTGATGAGGACCCTGCTTAAATGATCTTACAATCTAGATGTTAAAAAGATATCTATGAAATCTTATTGAAATATTAATAAATGCTCTAATTAGCATATTTTTGTGTCATGATGTTTAACATTAATATTTGCTTTTCTTTCTCTTTTGTTATGAATGTTTTCAAGGTGTGCGAGGTATGGCCTTGTTTTTTCACTCTCATGCCTGTAACCGTATTTGTAAAAGTATGATGCTGACGCCATTTGACCTTTCACCTGGCGAGAAGGTCGCTTTGGACAACAGCGCTAAAATGCTGGTTAGTGTTTTTCAGTTAAATGTCTCCTATTCTGTAATTGGTGAACATTTCTCATGTAGTATAGATATGGATATATAATACATTGTATTGTATATTGTACATTGTATAACACAGTAGCTGAATACTAACTCTTTGTCCTGTCTGATCACTGTAATTATGCACTACAATCATATTAGAACCCTATGTATTTCCATTTAAAACAACTGATATGGTCCACTATGAAAGGAAAAAAAAAAAAAATCAGTGTCCCTAAAGAGGATAGCTCTGTGTTATTTCTCTGTTAAAACGCATAACTATAGCATGTCCTCTATGTGCTGTAAAGACACTTAAGAGGACACCTAAGCCGCTACTTCTTTAAGCGGCACGGTCACCCCCCTTCCAAATGAGTTTTCTAAAGAAAAGGAAAAAAAGACAAAACCTGTATTCCTTCCCCACCTGGGGGACCTAATGGGCATATGTACTGAGCACTGCATGCTTTACAGCTTCCCTATTGGAAAACCCCCTTTCTTATGGGGGATTACAAGAGATTAGATGTCCTCCTGCAAAGCATGAGGACTTGCATTGTCACGTCACAGATTTAATTTACATTAGAGTCCAGGAAGTGTACATAGTGGCTGTCTGGAAGACGGCCTCTACAGGTTGTCGTAACCCTGCAATCTAATCATTGCAGTTTCTCTGAAACAGCAATGTTTTATTTTATTTTACAAGGTTAAGCACACTTGTCCCCTTTACCCAGATCACTACATTAAGGTGAAGTGGTTTCTGTGCCTATAGTATCCCTTTAAGGCACCTCTGTATGGACATTTCAGGTATTGTACATTATATGTTATTATTGTGCTATTAATTTGGTATGTGGAAGCATGGGGGGGGAGCCTATATGTAAAGTAAAAAAGAAGCCCTTCGATGTTAAAACAAAATGTATTTCTTTCTATGTTAGAATGTTCCTTTAAGAGCTTATTTACAGCTATGAACATGTTGATAAATATCTGGTTTCCCCATTATGTACCCATATTTAGCGTGGTTTATATATAATTTTCTGCTTATTTTAGCTTCAGTTGGTTTAAGCAAAAAATACACAAACGGGTCTTTCTTAGAGCAGACACAGGCCTTTTGTCATTGAAACTATCTCTGTTACTTAACTGTTTTACATTGCATGTTTTTTTTACAATAAAATCAATGGGCTCAGTGTGAGTTACTTAGTATTCTAAATCAGTATTCCGTGATGCCAAGCTAATTCCTGTAACACTGCTTTTAACCAGCTAGGGACCAGATACTCACCCTGCATGTCACTATATTATGGCATTTACCTAGTCCCATGTCATAAACAAGATTGATAAAACAAAAACCAATTGATAATGATCACCTAAACCAGAAATTGTAGAGGATAAACCTGTGAATTGCAAATTTAAGACTTTAATATTAATGAATTGGAGAAATATGCCTCTGCAGCACTAGTTGTCATATTTTTGAAAAAAGTCTCAATATTGCAATGTTTACAATATCTTGGAAGGGCAAGTAATAACCAGCCGCAATTTTAAAAAATCAGAGTAAAAATTAAAATAATAAAAGTTTCAAAAACAAAAATTTTTGTGTAATTTTCCTTATTTGCACCTTATCCATTTAAAAAAAAAAAAAAAAAAGACTGTGAATATAACAGATGGGATAAATGATGAATAAATGATGAATACAAATGTGCATGGTAATATTCAAATGCCAAAAAATAGGACACTAAAAGAATGCATGATCACGTATTTTTTAAGTTTGCACAGTTATGAAAACAAACAAGATGCCAAAATCTGTCTGTAGAAATTATAGGCCCTTTGCCAGAAGAGTGCCAGTAAGTCATACTCCTTCCTCCTGATAATATCTGATGGTTTTGGAGTGGAGCTGAGATAGGTGGTACATCCCTCCCGACATTGATAGATGAGTGGATCCTGTAATGACCTGTCTGGCTGGCACCCAGCCTACAGGACCCTCCAGAAAGTGCTTCTGAAAGATTATCTGCAGGGTCCTAGTGCCTGCATATAGCTCAAGTGCATCTAATGATGCTTTTGCACCGTGAAGCCCAAGGTCAAAATATGGACCTGGTGGTGGCATGAAGTATTGGATTGGTCTATCACACAGATAGCTGTAAGAGTGCATTTGTTATCACTACTTTTCCATGAAAAGAATTTGAACAGATTGCCTGCACAAACTAGGAAGTTAGTGCTGGGCAATAAAGAGGCCGGGCCATCATTAGTTGTAGAAGCCAGCCATCATTAGTTGTAAAAACATCGGACACCTTTTTAGAGGTTAGGGTAGGAATTTCATCAAAAATTGCTTTAAAAATAAATATATATTTTACTACTTCGAATTTTCTTTCAAGGTTTTTATTATAATTTATTTTGTAAATGTTTAGTAAAAGCTAAAGAACACAAACAGTTTGAGATTGGGCCACTATACTAATTTAAAAATAGATAATTCTATCCATGTCCTTGCCAAAAGGTAAAGAACCTCTATTGTCTTCTGTGTACAGTCCAGATCGATACTGATTGTCTCTGATGTTGTTTTGCCCAGCAAACTGCTCAGACTGTTGTACGCGGCGGAGTGGAGAAATGCGGAAGCTCCCGGGTTCGAACCATGTCTGGAAGCCGTCCTCCTCTGCTCTTACGACTCTCTGAAAACTCAGGAGATGAAAACATGAGCGACATGTTTGATTCTCTGCCCAACTCCCCATCACCAGCCACCCCTCATGGTCACAGATTCGATGTGCACGGTAAGATCATTTGTTATCATGGGGGGGCGTCGCAGACTGTGAACTAGAATGCCATGCATGCACAGTAATAAATTACAAGGTATTAAAATCTTTTCTGGTAGATATGCCACGTTACATTTAGTTTAATTTCATGCCATTCTTGGCAGTGCAGATAATATAATTTACCAGATTTGTGATAAACCCCTTCAAAGACCTGATAAAAACTCTGAAACAGTAACAAATTATATTTTGCATACTTTATTAAAAAAAGTTGTGTTTTTCTTTATTTACGGTTTGCTTTATTATTTTTATTTGATATTTCTTAAATTGCCAAATAGCCTCAATATTTTTATGTCAGATCTCTATCTTTAGCTTTTTTTCCGCTATGTGTAATTCTACGCATAGATGAAAAATTTGGCATGATGTGTGATTTATTGTACTGGCATATTAAATGGAAAGCGTTGATTATCTTTGATCTTTAAAGTTAAACATTCCTTATATGTGCTGGTTCAATTAACTAATAGGGGCAGCTTGCTAAACTTTCCTTATGTTATTCCATAAGATCTGGACCTACTATGGTACTACATTCTCAGTGTTCTCGCTCAATAAATGTAAACCTAGTCTGCATTCCAAAAATCTATTTACCTTCAATGTACTTTGTGAACATTTCAATAAAAAATATTGTGTATTTTACATGTCAAAACCATGTAAAATGCCATTTAGCCTATAATGCACTACTTATTTTGACCCAGCACTGTTTTTTTTTTACATTATATATTTTTTTCCCTCTTTTAATCTGCACAGGTTGGCCAATTTTCAATGAAGTGGATAATTTGGATAAAGAAGAAAACAACAATCTGGACAATCACAGAGTATGTTATATGAAACTTAAACTCCTGTTCATTATATCGGTCATATTGCAGATACAGGCTTTGCGTGAACATCTTATGGCTCCTTCATAGTGCATGTTCACTCTGGATAAATTACGTGTTTGGGTTTAGTTTTTGTTACAAGGCTTTTTTTTTTTTTTTTGGCTGCAAAATTTGGATGCAGTTATCCTTGGAAAGTAATCCTTTCCGTGCAATAGCTTGATATAGCATTCTTTTCAGTAGCACTTTCTTTATCACAACATCTTAGGCTAAATCTGGGAGATTTATTTATTTATAAAATATTTTACCAGGATGGATACATTGAGATTTCTCTCGTTTTCAAGTATGTCCTGGGTCTTTGTCCACAAACCATTGCATTGTTACAATAGGATACAATATTACAAAAATACAATATACAAACTTATATAAATTTAATATATAACAGGTAATAAATATATTCAACCATGACAGGTGCATTCTGTGCTGAAGTATATTGCCATAGATCTCTTAAACTATTTTAGATTGAACATTTGACTGGGTCCCTGAGGTTAGTCCATAATTGCGATGCTCTGTAGGAAAATGAGGATCGAGCCACTTTATTTTTGTATTGCGGTATGCTAAATATTGTGCTAGCACTGGATCAGAGGTTATAGGAGGTGGGAACAGCTGGGGAGAGCATTCTACTCGGGTAGGGTGGGAGCTTCCCAGAAATGCTCTTATGCACAAGGCTGGAAAGATGAAGAGTGCGTCGGGATTCCAGCGACAGCCAGTTTAGCTCTTTTAACATGTCACAGTGGTGGGTAAAGTAATAACATTCTAGTACAAAGCGGCAGACCGAATTATATAACATGTTAAGAGTACTCAGCAGATAAGTTACAACAACAGATCATTGTATACATTTTGCTTGAAGACATGGCAAAGTTCTGAAAGTGATGCAGTAAAATGTTCCCACTGATGACATAGCGTCGAAGAAAGTTTCCCTAATATGTTGAACTTAGTCTCAAGTAATGCCCAAGGGCTTAATTCCCTCCCAATTGGCCCTTTCCGGTTGTTATTCAATCTTCATTTACTGCCCCAAAAAAAAAAAACGGTGTAGCAATATACATATCAAAGAATATTGATTTGGTTATTAAGTTCCAAAAGACGGATAAGGAAGGTAGATAGATAATTCTGGTATGCGAGATAGGTCAAATATACACGTTTGCCCATGTCTATGTTCCCAATTCCTACCAGACAGCATATTTAACTAAAAAAATTAACGATGCTAGATAGATTTAAACTTGGCATTGTCTTAGTAGAGGGTGATTTTAACTGTGTGCTTGACCCTTATTATGATAAAACTCTAAGGGAAGGGAAAAGGATACCTAGAAATGAAATCAATAAAGCGTCAAGATTTCGCCAGATATTATCCATTAACGCCTTACGGTATATATGGAGAATTTCTAACCCCAAAGAAAGGGACTTCACTTGCTTTAGCAAGTCTCAGTGTACATATTCAAGAATTGATTTAATTTGAACAGATAGGGCTACTTTAGAAAGAGTAAAACATTCTAATATAATAGCCATAACTTGGTCTGATCATAATGCACTAAAGGTTCAACTAAAAACGTAATATGGTCGAATAAAACCAGACTGGAGATTAAACAATAAATTACTTCTATCGCAAGAAAACAGAAATTTTATCTGTAAAATGATAGAATATTATTGGGAAGAAAACAATACATCTGATGTATCTACAGAAATTAAATGGTGTGCATTTAAGTCTAATCAGAGGCAATTTAATAAGATTAGGAAGCTCTATATATTATTAAACAAGAGGGGGTTGGCTGCACTCATCTTAACATGCATAAATGGGGGTGCTGCTGGGGGCCAAATAATACAATACACAAGATCCAGCGCACTCACCTATCCACTAAACAGCAACTTCAATGTTGAAAGATTTTATTTGTTTTTTTAAAAACACCTAATCTAGGCAAAAATAATGGGGGTTTAGTTACATTATATGATCATACATTGCATAAGCCTGCCACAACGTCAATGTACCCCATCTTTGGCAGGTCCTACACTAACAGCCTAATGTCTGCTCTTATGAGATTAACCTACTTGGGGAAAGAAATTCCATCTGGGGCTCTCTGCAGTACAAGGCTAAATAGGGCCCTGGGATGAGGCACCTGTGACAGGGAGGGGTGCAAAACCAAGGAGCTGGCTAGACTCCCAAATATATATAAAACAAGAGGGGGTTGGCTGCACTCACCTTAACATGCATAAATGGGGGTGCTGCTGGGGGCCAAATAATACAATACACAAGATCCAGCGCACTCACCTATCCACTAAACAGCAACTTCAATGTTGAAAGATTTTATTTGTTTTTTTAAAAACACCCAATCTAGGCAAAAATAATGGGGGTTTAGTTACATTATATGATCATACATTGCATAAGCCTGCCACAACGTCAATGTACCCCATCTTTGGCAGGTCCTACACTAACAGCCTAATGTCTGCTCTTATGAGATTAACCTACTTGGGGAAAAAATTCCATCTGGGGCTCTCTGCAGTACAAGGCTAAATAGGGCCCTGGGATGAGGCACCTGTGACAGGGAGGGGTGCAAAACCAAGGAGCTGGCTAGACTCCCAAATATATATAAAACAAGAGGGGGTTGGCTGCACTCACCTTAACATGCATAAATGGGGGTGCTGCTGGGGGCCAAATATATTATTGGCTGACCTAAATAAGACAAATAAAATATTTCTGTCTTAAGTAACACCTGGAAAAATTACCGAAGTAGAAAATAAAATAAATTAACAAGTTATTGAAAGACTAATAAATAAAAAAATTAGAAATACAGCAAGCCAATTTCTACTTTTCCGGATAAAAAGCTGATAAATTATTATCGAACAAAATAAAGGTGAGATGAACTAGTTTCCTCATAAAGAAAATTAAGCACGGGCAGGAGATTCTCCTAGCCCCTAAAGCTATAAGTTTAGCCTTAAAAAGTGTCTATCAGAATTTGTACAATCTTCCAGATTATTCCTCTAAAGACATGTTAAATTACTATTTCCAAAATAAGAAGCTTACCTCACGTTCTTTACAACTAAAATTACTGAATACAAAAAATAACATCTGATGAAACAATAGCAGTAATCAACACCATGAAAAGGAATAAAGCCCCAGGCCCTGATGGCTTTCTTGACTTATTTTATTGTCTTTACAAGGAATTACTTACCCCTAAATTGGTAGAGTGCTTTAATTCTTTCACAAATTCTGGGTCAGTGCCTAAGGAAATGTTAAAGGCAAACATTACACCTATTTTGAAACAACATAAGCTATAGACCAATAGCCCTACTAAACGTAGACTATAAGATCTATGCATCCATTTTAAGTAACAGAGTTAAGAAAGTAATCCCGAGTATAATATCAGACGACCAAGTTGGGTTTGTCTCAGAAAGATCAGCCACAAACCACATTAGTAAAATTAATAATATATACCAGTGTATTCACTCCCCTTTTCTCATGTTCGCTCTCAATGGAGAAAAGGCCTTTGATAGAGTAAATTGGAACTTTATTAGATCAACTCTAACAGCCTTTGTTTTTTTTTAAGGAAATATTGTATCAGCAGTAATGGCATTATATTCTTCCCCATCCAGTAGAATTGCGGGTTCTGCTTTAGTCAGATTCGTTTGTGATATAAAATGGCACTCGTCAGGGATGTCCACTTTCTCCCTTACTATACATCTTAGCCGCAGAGCCTATAGCCTTTGATATCCGATTCAATCCAGAAATACAAAACAAAAAATAGAGTTCTTAAAATCAGCCAATATACTGACGATACACTCTTGACTCTCTCAGAACCTAGTACATCAGTGCAGGAGGCAATGACAACAATAAAACATTATAGTTAACTTTCAAAGTACAAACTAAATGTAGAGAAAACTATTGCAATGCCTATGAATATAAATAAAGATATACTTAACCACTTAAATAAGGAATGTAGTTTTAAATGGGAGAAAAAGTCATATAGATATCTAGGTATAAACATTTCTAATCAACCTTCGAAATTAATGGAGGACAATTTTCCACCCCTACTAAGGGAAATAAATCAAAATCTGAAACGATGGAGAGCACTTGAAATATCTTGGTGGGGCAGACTTAATACTATTAGATCCTATGTCTTTCCCAAATGTATCCGTCTGTTAAGGATGATACCAATGAATATTCCACTACCATGGATAAAATTGCTGAACAATGCATTCAGCAATTTTATATGGCTCAAAAAGAAACCAAGGGTTAGAATAAACTTTATTTATTTAAATAAAAAACAGGGGGGTATAGGTTTACCTAATGTCTTTCTGTATCAACGTGCGGCCCTTTTTATGCATACTCTTTCAATGATAAAGAAAGACAATGATTCACATGCTTGGTATGAAATTGAAGAAAGCTCAATTATCCCTCCAAATAGCTTGATTAAAGTCCTGTGGCCAATAAAAAGCTCAGCTGGAGTACATAAGTCAGACCCCTCCCGACTACCAATCAGGAGCACCTACTACTTCAGTTATCAGTCTACACACAAGCCAGCACAGGTTAGGGAACTGTACAGCTATTTTCTAGAGCGGATTGGCTCAATTTGGGCAAAATTAAGACGTAACCATTTTACAAATCGCTGCCTTTCTATGCTCTATCAGAGCTGATCAAGGGGAGCTCTGAATACCACCAGCTTTGTAGTAGTGCACAGTTCTGGTGATGCTTACAGTGACCCATCACAAGTGAGTTTCACATGTTAGAACACTGACTTCATAAGAATTACTAGTACCAGTGCGGAGTAACACATAAATAATTCTGTGTTTTGCTTCCCAAAGGACTCCGAAAATGGTGGTGACAGTGGATGTCCTAGTGAAAAGAGAAGTGAATCTGATGAAATGGAACCTCGGGTAAGATTTTTATTGACATTGACAAAAAATACAAACCGCAATTAAATAGGAATGGTAACCTCTCCTATCTCTTTCAAGCTTAATAACCATCTGAAAACTTAAAGTTGTCTGCGATTTGAACGATTTTTTTTTCTTCTTGCATAATATTAATGATATGTGATGCTATTAAGGCACAGCCTGGCATACAACGCAAATCACGCCATATGCGAGCAGTTCTAACTATGGCTGTGCCAATTGCTACCCATCACTAGTTTATTGTCTGCATTTGGTAGAACACTCTGTTTATCTATTGGAGGATTAAGCATATGTCTCTGTTTGCGGTGTAGCATCCTCACAATTACGGTAGAAGACGCCTTGAATCAGAATCTGAAGACAGTTTTGGAAAGGTAAATTGTTTAACTTTTTCAAAACAGATTACCTTTACTGACCTTTTCCTCTCATTCTATCATCCTTCATTCTGCCTTGTATCAAAACAGCAGTACTAGCTAATAAAATGTCTATATAGGATATGGTTCCTCTTTTTATTATTTTCATAGTTATATGACATCCATAAGTAAATGTTTGGCCAGGATGTAAATAGACTATTTAACGTAAAAACCTGGAAGAAGGTCATAATGGCTTACAGATAGGACCCTACCAAGTGCAATTCTTTCTAAATTAGTTACAGGAGATGGCTTGCCCGCCAGATACGACAAGTAGCAGACTAAGAGGTCTGGGCGGAGAGAGACATAAAAAGTTGGATGAGACCAGGGATTAGGGATATCCGAGACATTAGGATATTTTTTGACCATCCACTACAAAGTAGGTAGCTACAAAACAGGGCAGTTGGGAGTTACATAGGCTAAATATTACAGTGAATACTATGAATTTTTACCACTAAGAGGAAATTGAAGTTTATCACATGTTCTAGTTTGACGTTGTACCCATGTATATTACATAGTCCTGTATTTAACTGGGTACATATACAATATAATTAAACTGTCATTGCAGTTCCTTTTTTCTGTAACTCAGATTTTATTCAATTTTAAAATAACAATGTGCAATAACAAGGTATAATAGAGTCAAACTAATGTAAAACCAAAGGTCAGGGTGAATTGCAGCTAAATTTTGATTGAATTCTAGTTCCTACTTTCTACAGTAAGTTTACGCCTTGTTGACTTCAGCAAATAGTGGGCTCTGTAGCTACTGTAACCACATTTTAATTAGAAACCTAGAATGTGACGGCAGATTAGAACCATTCGGCCCATCTAGTTTGCTCAATTTTCTAAATACTTTCATTAGTCCCTAGCCTTATCTTATAGTTAGGATAACCTTATGTCTATCCCACGCATGCGTAAACTCCCTCACTGTGTTAACCTCTACCACTTCAGCTGGAAGGCTATTCCATGCATCCACTACCCTATCAGTAAAGTAATACTTCCTGATATTATTTTTAAACCTTTACCCCTCTAATTTGAGACTATGGCCTCTTGTTGTGGTAGTTTTTCTTAATTTAGTAAATTATCTCAGATTTTTCAAATTGGCAAAGTTCCCTTTAATGGGAAAGTTCATCATATTTAGCTGAAAATATTGTGTGGTTGTTCGCTAATAATTAACACTCTAAAACTGCTTGGTTCTCTGTGAGTAGCCTACTTTAATAAAGATAGCAGTGGTTCAGAAATTAAGCCAAGATAGTAGAACGTGTCCACCATTTTGTAATCGACAAAATCCAAATTTTTCTGAGAATATTACATTTATTAGCGTTTGTTCAGTATAAACTAATTTTAAATCCCTAGTACTGCTGATTTTACTTCCTGTTCTATCTGTTTCTTAACACTTCACCACATCCTTTTCTAATCTTTTTTTCTCCAATTAGAGCAAAGGTGTTGTAAATAAGGCCTATCTCATCTCTAGAAACAGCCCCAGGAGTAAACTGGTGATTTTGCATGGACCTCTGTCAGTTTCCCATGATTCTCTGCTTTTATTACCAGTCGATTTCCCAGCATCCTTTAATTGCACATGGTTGGATGGCTTCATATCCTTAAGATCCACACGATTGGGAAGTGATCTAGCCAACATTATGGAGTTAATCTCATGTATAGTTTTTATATTCAAACTACCTCAGCTGTGTTACTTTGTAGAGATTAAATGTGTTGCCACTGCCTAGTGTTTTACCAACCTGTATATGATCTACGATTTACATTACAACAATTAAAATGTTGTATAGATATTTTTTGGCGGGGGAAAATTTTTTTTTAAAAACTTTGCCCTTTTCCCCAACGACATTATGATGCAACATGCATACCCGATATTAAAAAACAAAAAACACAACTTGTTTTCTATAATTTGCTAGAAAGTGCATAGTATGCCCATACAATTTTATTAGAGTCTCTCGGTCTGACAGATACCATTTAAATTTAATGCTACTCTAAATCATATAATGGCTTACAGATAGAAGTTGCTAAATGTATTTGAAATCCCAGGAAGAAGTCCAGAAATCTATCTACTGATTATTTATTAATTATCCTTTTTAAGAAAAAAAATAATCCTTTCTAGCCATCCAACCATGGTGCGGAAAAGACATAAATTCTTAATTTGCATTCTTTGTTAGGTTAACCCAATAATAACCTTTATCCCGAGGAATATCTTACTGCTTCACACAGGTTCTTCACAGCCGAGGCCAGTGATGGGAAACCTGGCCAATATCCCCTTTCACAGATGGAATCTTTGCACATACAATCACACAACAGACCAGTGATTGGTACTGCAGATATTTGTGGGATGTGTATTTTCCAGTCTTTCAGTTCATAACTCACAAACAACTGCAGTACCAAGCATAGTCAACAGTACAGAAGATTTAAACGGCATTCTGCGGCAATAGAAACGGTGCTTTATTCAGTGAAATAGGGGCCTATCTGTGTCCGTAAAGAAATAAAGCACTATTTATTTACCCTGCCAGAGTGCCCGATTCTGTTATGTTAATGATCCATACAGTTATTTTGCATGTGCTTGCTGGAGTGCAGTTGAGCATATTACAAAGAAACCTGTTCTACTACTTGGCATTAACGGCGTTAAACCGAGCTCAAGGTTTGTCTATACTTGTGTGTGCAATAAAGCACGCCTCTGTGTCTGCCACATTTCTACACACAGCGGTATATCGGATTTTGATGCTTGTGATAGATTTGCTCTAAACGCGAATAGGATAGTTGCATGGAGAAACAGTGGCAGGGTGGTTATTGCCCTCACCCACGTAACCTAGGAATTGATTTAATCACGAGCATGGTGACGTCCAATACATTGTATAAGGCTTTGTCACAATCCAGGTTCCAATTTTTCCGGGGAGTTTTGTGCACATCTGATCGCTGGGCATTATGAGATGTTTAGTTTTATCAAATGGACAGTGTGAGATGAATGAAAATCACAGTGCAGTTTCATTTAGATTGCGGAGTAGTTTAATTCAGGGATTTTCCCCTCCATTAATAATGAAGCTAGAGTTATGCTGCTTGTTTTTAAGCATGAAAAGTGTGTATTATTCAATCTGTGTTGACACACTGGCATAATAAAAAATATACATATATATATATACAATATCTGTTGATGTGTCATATTTTCTTTTTTTGCAACTTGATAGCCATGTCCTAGAATTCCTAAGCTTATATTGAACTTACTTGAACTAAGTTCAAGTGGCTCTGTAGAGCAGCGCTAAATGCGAGTTGACGGAGTTTGATGGGAATTGTAACACTTGTTGTACTGTAGAAAGCATATGCTTGCTTTATATAGACCTCTAAGATTACATCTCCTAACTGACTCATTTTATTAACACATTTTAGGTCACAGTGGAGAAATGGAACCAGTTTCACGCAGCTCGTGTCCACATTCACCGACCTTCCTGTGTCGCAGTGGAAGTCCAACGCCTGAACGCTTTAGAACTTGAGAAGAAGATTGGAAAATCTATCCTTGGGAAGGTAGAGTGTTGCATTCATAATCAGAATGAAAGCAATATTTATCAATGAAATGTTGTTTTTTGTTTGTTTTTTTTGTTTGTTTTTTTTAAACTTCTCTCTTAATTGAAAACAGTTGCTTGCCATCTTTGTTACAGGTTCACTTGGCTATGGTGCGTTATCATGAAGCTGGACGCCTTTGTGAGAAAGATCAGGAATGGGATCACGATTCTGCAATTTTTCACCTCGAACACGCAGCTAATCTCGGAGAACTGGAAGCCATCATTGGCCTTGGACTCATGTATTCTCAGTTGTCCCATCACATACTCACCGACATCTCTGTGCCGGTAAAGCAATAAATGTGAAACTATTAAAATATATATATATATTTAAAATTATCTCTATTTTATAGACAATGCATTACAAAATATGTGCAAAAGAATGGGTAGGGGTGGATAATTTCAAAGCTCTTAAAGCTACACAATGGAGAGATGCTGTCTGACTCTACAGACAGACTCCTACCTTACCAGGAAATGGCTCCACCAATCAGGAGCCTCTCATTCTAGTCTGAGTTATAATGTAGTTCCTGCCCATTCCACATCTTCCATCATTTACACACAGCCCGGTTCACAATGTTTTCTGCGCATGCTTGTTGCGTACACATGATCCAGCCGTGGTGTCTGTTAACACTGAAAGTGTTTTTATTTAGAACTAAGTGCATTTGAGTATTAAGAATGCAGTGACCGGCTCCTTGAATCATAACCTAACCCATTTAAAACTTTGCATGCCACAATGGTGAGCAATACTCTCTTATCCTCAAAGGAGTTTATGCATTAAACACTGAGAGGTAGTTACCTGACAACAAATGTACAAACATAACAAATGTTTCCAGCTCTGGAACTGTAACATCATTATATCTGTATAGTGAATGAATCCCAAAGGGTTAAAATTCTGAGACTATATTGATGTTCTAGTAAGAGCTACTGCTACTGTAAAAAATGTTAGTGCTCTTATTAAAGTGCACCTGTCTCTGTCATCATTCCTGTATATATCTCTCATCATAAAGTTAAATTATACATTTAGTTTAGGGTTTACTTACCTACTTTCCACCCATAAAGCTCCACCCTGATTGGAGGTCTGAGAGCGGTCTGTGCCATGATGTTGGCACGGTGGCTTATTGCTAGTCTATGTGAACAAAGTGACACCTGCTGCTTAATTTCTCTATTACCCCGGCAAATGCAAGCTTGCTGTAGGATTATCTCTGGAAACAGAAAGCATGCCCTGTAGTTGCTGTCCAACAAGCAGGAGAGCCACCTTTGTTCTCCTCTGTCACTCAGTTCTGAATATAGACTTCGATGCCTTCAATAGCTCAGTGCTGTCAGTATTGAAGTCTAGGCCAAGAATTGATTGACAGGTAGGGGAAGGACTTCACTTTTAAACCGTTTTTTACTTAAAATCTTTATATTTCCTTGCATTTTTCCCAACTCCACGTGTAATATTTTTATGTTATACAGTTTAACCCTGAATTCTGTGTGCCAGGATAGGTACATATAAATTCACTTGCAGTAATAATAGAAGATAATAATCTGTACATTCCTTGGACATTCCTGATCTGTCATAAATACATATGAAAGGGTTAAAGGTGTTTTTAAAAAATGATGCTACCCTACACGGGTAAGCCTGCAGGTTGGATGCCACTTTACTTGAAGTAATTTTATACTCATGAAAGACTGAACAATGTTTATTTACAGAGGATGTTAGCTTAATGTAAGCAGTGGCATTGCCCTATTTGTTTGCATGGGTTACACAACATTTTACCTACATTGCTCTGAGACCTGCCCTCTACAGCATATGTTATGTTTATAAATGTAATTAGCATAATAAAAAAAGAAAATTGGTTCTGTCCCTTTAAGTGCCTGCCATGGCTCCTTACAGTGCTTGATGAACAGTGTTTGTCTTTGTGAATGGTTTAGAATTAGTTAGCAGTGTGTGCTTCAATCATACGAGTTAGACTAGACACTGGCTAACTGCCTGGCAGTTACAGAACTATGATTCCCATCATGCTTGGTAAATCCCTAGTATGCCCATTCAATGGCCATGCATTCTTTCAGCGGGACATTTACAACGGTGAAAGAGCTATTTGTCAGGTAGAAGAATAGCAAAGTCTGGTGAAAAATACCATTCAGTGACCATGAGTTATTTATGTTTGTTTTATTTTTTATTTTTCTTGGACAAAGGACACAGAGGAGAACAGAATTAAAGGATTTAATTATTTGTTGATATCAGCAGAAGCTGGAGATCGACCTTCAATGATTCATGTGGCTCGAGCATATGATACCGGTATAAACTTGGGATCAGACAGGTAAGAAACTACTGCAATATTTTAGACTATTTGATAGCAGCTGTATATTGACATCATGAACACTGACGTGCATCCAGTGACATCATTATCTTGGCTTCACTATGTCAGGATGACATCTTCCCAGCACTAGTTCCATGTGAGAAAGTACTCCCCCTTAAACCTACCTTCGAACATGCTATAGAACCTAGAACTTAACAGTATTGAAAAGTACACTGCTCAAAAAAATAAAGGGAACACAAAAATAACACATCCTATATCTGAATGAATTAAATATTCTTCTGAAATACTTTGTTCTTTACATAGTTGAATGTGCTGACAACAAAAATCACACACAAATAAAAAAATGGAAATCAACTTTTTCAACCCACGGAGGTCTGGATTTGGAGTCACACTCAAAATTAAAGTGGAAAAACACACTAGTGGCTGATCCAACTTTGATGTAATGTCCTTAAAACAAGTCAAAATGAGGCTCCGTAGTGTTTGTGGCCTCCACGTGCCTGTATGACCTCCCTACAATGCCTGTGCATGCTCCTGATGAGGTGGCGGATGGTCTCCTGAGGGATCATGCTGGAGGATGTTGCAGGCAGCAGAACGTTCTCCACGGCGTCTCCAGACTCTGTCACATGTGCTCAGTGTGAACCTGCTTTCATCTATGAAGTGGCGAATTTGCCAATCTTGGTGTTCTCTGTCAAATGCCAAACGTTCTGCACGGTGTTGGGCTGTAAGCACAACCCCCATCTGTGGATGTCGGGCCCTCATACCACCCTCATGGAGTCTGTTTCTGACCATTTGAGCAGACACATGTACATTTGTGGCCTGCTGGAGGTCATTTTGCAGGGCTCTGGCAGTGCTCCTCCTGTTCCTCCTTGCACAAAGGCGGAAGTAGCTGTCCTGACGCTGGGTTGTTGCCCTCCTACGGCCTCCTCCACGTCTCCTGTACTGGCCTGTCTCCTGGTAGCGCCTCCGTGCTCCGGACACTATGCTGACAGACACAGCAAATTTTCTTGCTACAGCTCGCATTGATGATCCATCCTGGATGAGCTGCACTACCTGAGCCACTTGTGTGGGTTGTAGACTCCGTCTCATGCTACCACTAGAGTAAAAGCACTGCCAGCATTCAAAAGTGACCAAAATATCAGCCCGGAAGCATAGGAACTGAGAAGTGGTCTGTGGTCACCACCTGCAGAACCACTCCTTTATTGGGGGTGTCTTGCTAATTGCCTATAATTTCCACCTGTTGTCTATCCCATTTGCACAACAGCATGTGAAATTGATTGTCCCTCAGTGTTGCTTCCTAAGTGGACAGTTTGATTTCACAGAAGTGTGATTGACTTGGAGTTACATTGTGTTGTTTAAGTGTTCCCTTTATTTTTTTGAGCAGTGTATTTCCTGTTTCGGATACGGCTGTCCTACGTAGATGTATAAGTATGATAGGAAGCAAAAAGTGTTTTTACAGCTTACACTTGTTTTAGTCCTACAGACTATATAGTGAAATTGGATACTGTTCTCTCTGCAGGTTGCAGGACTGGGAGCAGGCTCTGTTCTGGTATAATTCTGCGCTGAACATGACCGATTATGACGAGGGAGGAGAATATGATGGAACTCAGGATGAGCCCAAGTACATGCTGCTGGCCAGGGAAGCTGAGATGCTGGTGGCAGGCGGGTATAACTTGGAGAAAGATCCACAGAAAGCTGGTGAGATATACACTACATAATATAACTCCCTTTGTGTCCAGTTTTGTGTAGTATATTTAAACAAGCAAGAACAGCTTCGGTTGAATTAAAGCCCCCTTTATCCTTGGCCAGAGCCTGGATAATTTTAGTATAAAGGGGGGAAAAAGTGCAGCTGCAGTTGGTCTTGCGCGTCTATAGAATGGTGTTTCATCCTACTCAACTTCATTATACTCATTAGACATAAAAATGGTGACAATTACAAGGACGCAGTAAGCACAATAAACTTCTTAATGTTGTAGTTTTTGGTGCATATGCCTTGTCCCTCCTGTCTGACCTATGGAAACATTGCAGTAAGTGAGAAACTGTAATGTGTAAATTTTATGTGTATTGTATTGGGTGCCTCTAGTGGCAGTCGAACAGAGAGCAACCAGAAGCACTTCTTCATAAAGACTATGAGGAAAAGCCTTCGTGTTTGATATTTTGTTTTAAAAAAATGAGGGGCATGCTAAGTAAAGGAACACTCTAAAATTACAAAGAAATATTTTTTAATGTTAGCGTATTCTTTTAAGTAAATGAATACCCCACTTTCTCTTCCTTCAGTATCATCCGATCCATGTAATTATTCGGGTGTGAGCAGGAGTAGGCATGAGAGACACTGTCCCCTAAGCTGGACTCCTATCCAGCATGTGTCTCCCATAGGGCTATGCAAACATGTCAGTTGTCAGGAACTCAAAAATATATTTTTAAAGGGTCATTCTAACCACGATAATAAGCACTGTGGCACATTTTGAATTTATATTTAATTTTTGACATAATGAACTGTAATAAACTTGATATTTTTATTCTCTCCAGTCCATTCCTCAGTAAATATCAAACATATTCTGTGCAGTCTAAAAGCAGCAGATGACTATGCTTGCCCAATATCAGAATTTAAAGAACACTCCAGACACCTAAAGTACATCAGCTCGCGGGGGTTCTGTATGTGTCTGGAGCCTGTCATATATGTCCGATATCAATAGAAATCTGCACTGGTTTAATATGACCGGCTCTGACCGTGCATAAAACAGTAGAATTATCATATTATTTTGGCACTGCATGCCCGTTGCTCGGTCCTTACAAGTTGTCATTTCTGATGTTTTAATTTCCTTTTCTTTAGGTGATCTGTACACAGAGGCCGCTGAATCGGCCATGGAGGCCATGAAAGGCAGACTGGCCAATCAGTACTATCAGAAGGCAGAGGAGGCCTGGGCACTCATGGAAGAGTAGTCCCCTACTCCTTGAACATATAAGAATGGCAGCTTAACAAATATACCATGCAAAAAGGAGTGTGGTTTACATTGATAACCAAATGATGGTTTTGTCCCTGGATTATCCTAATGTTTGTTTACATTGAGACACAAAGCATAGAAGATGTTATTGTTAACGAGTGCATGTTCCCCTTTGCGGCACATTAAGCAGCTGCCTCCAGCACTTTTTATTTTAATTTTATTTTTTTAGCAGAATGCTGTGAAAGGCAGGTGGGCCTCCCTAATTTTTAGCAGAGTCTACACACCTATCCATAGAAACTATCATTTTAACTTTTGAGTGGAGGTTACAAGAAATATATGTGTCTGTTGGTGTCTGTGTTTTAAGTCCGGCTTTGCATGTAGACACTTTTTGTAAAAACATTTCTCATTTCCTATTGCTTTTATGTCCCACAATGCTCTGCTGCATCCAGAATAAGATTAATCATCAGTGCAAAATGCCTTTCATGTCCTTGGCCATCAAATTGCTAAACCATTATACGTGCTTACATCCCCCATCCCTATCTGGTACTGATGTTAGTTGCAACAAAGTTCTTCTGAAATGTACATTATGACAAAAGTCATAGCATATTAGTATAAAGGACTCAGGAATCCATAATTATGTAGTTTGACAGAAATAATATGATGGCTGATTTATTTCTGTACAGTACTTTTACACTGAGAATCAAAGGGCTTTTAATACATTTTGCCAAGATTATTAATATGCAAAGCAGTAATGGAGCTTGAAACGGCAAATAATTACAAACTAAGAACAGCAGTGCAGCTGTGTTTTCTGGAGCTACTGACTGACTCACTTTAAAAAAAAAAAAAAAAAACATTTTGGAAAAAATCATTAATTTTTTTCTTTTACTTTGACTCCTCTAATACAGGACTAAAGCTCATGTACTTTCCTTCAGTGAAGGGAGCTGTACGTTAATATTTACATGATGTCCACACCTTCTGCAGTTAGCCAGGACCATTCTTCTTTGAGCCGGTCCTGTTACCTAAGCACACATTAACAGTGTTTGCACGGTGGATAGAGCATAAAAGAAAATATATTCTGCACATTTTGGTAGCTGAATTGTATTTAAATACGTTGAGAAAGAAAAGGTTTAAACGGGCTCTTTTTGGGACAATGTAAAATCGGATTAATCCTACACCAGTGCATTGTGTGCTCTGTCTGTGCCAGGATTAAACTGGATTATAATGTCAGATGCTAAATCTGTAATATGCATTTAAAAGAGAATGGAGACCATCACATGAAAAATGTTAAAGTAAGTTGTAAGATTTTTTTTTTTCCTCTTTGCTATAATTTCAAGAGAAGTGGCAGTTCCTCGTTAATATCCCAAAAATGTCCACCTTATAATTCCAATGCAGATTTATCTTATCCCTCATCTTTGCAAGGTTTGATTACTACAGCGTGCTAATATCTGACCTACCTCAAAACTACATTTAACTTCTTTAACAAATTCCAAATGCTGCTACCCTTATCTTCAACATCATGCCTCTTTCTACCAGACCTTTTCGTATCATCACCCCAAATCCCATATCGTCATCCTTTGTTTACTTTAATTGCACTCATTCTCCCACATTTGACAATCTCAGCTAATCCAATGCCTTCCCATAGTTCATTGACTCCCTGCAGTGCGTACAGATTTTGAACGCCAGTCACTGCCCCAGGAAGCACCTCTAGTGGCTGCCCGAGTGACTGCCATTAGAGGTGTTCCTAGTCAGTTTCCTAGTTTCTCTGAAAAGGCAGTGTTTACATTGAAAAGATTGCAGGGACAGGCTATACTCGCCAAAACTACTACATTAAGCTGCAGTTGTCCTGGTGACTATAGTGTCCCTTTAATGTGCTCATTGATTATACATTTAGTAATCTTTATAAAGCATAATATAAGCGGTGCAAAAGTAATAAAATTGCATTTTTCAGGCTATGCAAAGATGTCACTCAAGGGTTGTTTACTAAAGTGAGCAGCCGGAGTCAATTTAGATCGAATTTGAAATTTTAAGGACACAGTAGCCGAACTGAAAACATGGCTGATTTAGAAATTTTTTCTAGTTTAATTATTTTGATCTTAAATTTTAATTCTCATTTTAGTAAATAACCCTGAAAGTTTGGTGAGATCCATTTGCTTACTGTCTACTAGAACATGGTATTCAGGAATATTTAGGATGTGCATAAAGTTAACCAGATGAACTGATCTGGGAATTTGTTATGGGCTGACTAGACGCTAATTGTCTCTTATCTGCTATCAAAATCATTATCTCTGCTGTGGCTTCTTTTAAAATGTTTAAGTTGACTGTTGTTCAGACATACTTTTAATGTTACCACCACTCATACCTAAAAAAATTTTTTATATCATATATCCTAAACATTCTATTATCCTTGGACACTTTTTTCATGTACATAAAATATTCCGTCATACTGTTTCTATGGTAAAAAAAAATTCAAATGAAAGCATTTAAAATCTGATCTAACATACGGAGTTTTGTAAGACTTAAGCATTGATAGAACATTGCTACTTTTCTTGAAATAACCTGGTACTTTTTATATCATACTTATGCAAATATAGGCTTAATGGAGAAATTGAACACGCTGTTTAGAATTAGATGGTATTAACTATATGATGAAAAAAGGAAGAGAAAAAAAGGACCGTTAAATTTTGAACCGATTTTATATTTTTTGTCATGTTTCATGTATCTGCTGGAAAATGTGCTGAACATTTGCTGATAAAAATGTGTGGATATGTTTTCCAGTTTGCGGTTTAGTGATGTGAGGCTTAGTTCATAAGGTAAACATATGGTATGGGTTTAAATTTTATTTAGCTGTTTTCATGCACGTCAATAAATTAAATTTTTTTTCTCTACCAAAACCCAGTATGAATGGAAAAGGGTATACTTTTTAGTTCTGATTGGTATTTATTACAGTGTTTATTAGAAAGAAAATAAAATGCTTGATTTTGTATTGGTGCTAATTCAAATAGCATTGGCAACCGTGCCCAAAGAAAGAAAAAAGAAATGTATTCTTTTAAACAAAATTTGGTTTAAAATTCCCACAGATATTGCATAAGTGGCTGCGTAATCATCAGCTTAGTACTAAATTAAATTACTGGAATTCCCAGAAATCTCTGCTTTGCCCATAAATTCCCATAAATATGCTACTGCTTCCTTCCACCTATAGAGTCCTGCGAGACTGTAGAGCAGGCATTTTTGGGAGTTGTAGTTCAGCTGTTAGCCTTTTGCAATAGAAAACTGACTAATGTACAGCAAACTCACTGTAACTGGTCCTAAAATTTTAAATGTCTATCTCCCAAGATTATGTCTTGAAGTCTTCCAAAGATGCAAGTTTTACCATTAGATCTGTTTTAATAATCTGACCATAAACACAGGATTGTATTTACTAAACACTGCATTCTAGTGAATTAAAAACAGAACTTCAAAATTGAGGCAGAAAAGTGCTGATTTGGGGAAAAAAGTCTTAATTTTGGCTATTTTTACCTTAATTTTGTAAATTTCGTTTTTCGTTCCTACAAGTTGGTGTTTTCAATTACTACACCCCACAGTGCTTACCAAGCTGTGCTTGTTTAATTACATACGTAGTGGTGAAAATGCTTAAAACCCATGTTTATTTTTATTGCTTAAGTTTGTGACTCATAAAAATCTTTAGTTGATCCAAAATGTGATGCTTCATAGCTCTCGTAATTTAACGAGGCAAATTGTTATGTTTACAGAAATATATGCAAAGTTATGTTGAATTTCCCAAGGGGCTTTGCTAGTGAAAAGTAAAAAAAAAAAAAAGATAAATTTATTACAGTAGTTTATCTAACTTGGAGAATGCCCAGAGTCTGTTTTACCCTTTAAAAAATAAAATAAAAATCAGCTTGATTGAATGATTGCGCAAATGGATTTTGTATATTAAATGCATGTGAAACTGTATGAATTTTAAATTGTTCCTTTGTTGTATAATAAATAATAAACACCAGCTGAGCCTGTTTCATACATCTGTGTGTCGTGATTTCTACTCAAGAACACTCTGTATAATTTGCAGGGTATTTTCAAGTCTAAATGATGATCAATACCCAACTCGGTGATAGTGATTGTGCCATCCTGGAAGGAAGTCAGACTCAGAGGTTTGAACAGCGATCTTTATTCTTAGACAGAAAAGAGTCCCTGTTAAATGAGGAAATTATCATCACTATATGAACTGTAATAGCTTATAGGGTAAACATCAGAGGTGTTGCTGGGGATGCTAAAATAGGTGTGGGGTTCTGTAGTCCAGTATTTCTACAGGTGGCAGATGAGGCAGCAGGGTACATATAGTTTTTTCTTATACATAATGCAACTGATTTTTTACATAGATATCAGTCCTTAAATGACCACTCAGGGCACCATAACATCTCAATAAGGTTGTTATGGTGTCTGGATGTCCTGGGCACTATCTTACCATATGTGGTTTAATCCCAATGTGCTCTTGATGACCCCCATCCTCGCAGGCCCTCTGGCTTCAATGCTGAAGCATTTCACTTGGGCACTGGTGATAGGCCGAGAGCGTCGGCTGACATTCTCAGCGTATCATTGGCCGTCCAATGAGAGATAAGCTTTAGAAACGTGTTAAAAGGTATCAAATTGATGCAGAAGAAGGATGGACCCAGGTGACATCAGGAAAAGAGAAATGCAAAGTACAAATCTGTAAAACTACTGACCGTTGACCATTAAGCAGAAGCACTATACAGATAGTTTCTGAAATGATTTAGTAATCCACAAATTACCGTACTATAGCAGCACTGTCACTTTTGAGTTTTTCATGATAGATTACAGTTGGCTGCTATTTAATTCCAACACTATTATAAACCTTACATGGAGCAAGCAAGGGGACACATTCAGAACTAAAATTCAGATATTTTTTTTCCACTTTGGCTATTTAACATCAATATTTAAATTCTTTTTGACTTTAGTAAATAAACCCTTCTGTTTAATGTAGGACTTGATATCCCATTGACTGATAGACAAATGCAATGCATCCTTACATGCTATGTGTAGTAGATACCTATTAACTCTTAGTGTGCATGCGTGAGAAGGGACACGACACCCAGACCGCTTCGGCTCAATTGTGTGGTCTGGGTGCCAGGTACCCCAGATTTTAACCCTACAGCTGTAAATATAGCAGTTTCAGAGAATGTTTACATTTGGGGTTAATCCAGCCTCTAGTGGCTGTCTTCTTTTGCATTAGCCCCAGAATGTCTCTCCAGGACCTAGAGTCACCCAGTAACAGGCGCTCCAGCTACACCGGGACAATCCAGGACTCTGTTCTCCAAAGCTCTCATGCAGCATAAGGTGGGTATTTTCCCCAAAATTAGCTTGATTCCGCAGGAGCTCCAGTGACCTACAGCGTGTCGGCATGGCCGCCCGCCCCGCCCCGAATGCATGATTTTTAAAGCAGATTTTCAGTGTGAGTGAATAAAGAAGTTATTTGTGTGGAGAGTCTGAATGTGAGTGGATGCAGGGGTTATTTGTGCGGAGGGTTTGTGTGTGAGTGAATGCAGAGTTTATGTATGTGAAGGGTTTGTGTGTGAGTGAATGTAGGGCTTATTTGTGTGGGGGGCCTGTGTGGGAGTGGAAGGTCTGTGTGGGAGTGAATTCAGGGGTTATTTGTGCGGAGGTTAGTGTGTGTGAATTCAGAGGTGGTATTTGTGCGGATACTTAGTGTGTTAGTGAATATCATTTGTGCAGGGTCAGTGAGTGAATGCAGGGGCATATTTGTTTGGAGGGTCAATGAGGTGAATGAATGCAGGGGCGTATTTGTGTGAATTGCCAGTGCATGGGTGAATGCTGTGTTTGAATAGAGGATCAGTGTGTGAGTGAATCCATGCCTCACAAAATTGTAAGGAATGAGATAAGGGCAGGGTGGGTGAGTCTGAGAAGAAGCGCTGCCAGTGATGTGATTTTATATAAAGTGTGGGTGAACTTAAACTGTATGGCTATGCTGTGGTTCCTGCAGGCTTTGTGTGCGTGGAGGGGGGTTTAGGGAGGCCTCCATGTCCATTTTGCTTGGGGCCAACAAAAATTCCTTCAAACGGCCCTGATAGAGAGAATAGCAGTACCCAGTTGGTTCCAAACCTGGAGGATGGTTTTGCGACCCATACATGCTATAGTGGTATGGGGTTTATTATAATTATTATTATTATGTTATTATTTATATAGCACAAATTCCGCAGCGCTTTACAATGGGTGGATGAACAAACGTAGTTGTAACCAGACAAGTTGGACACACAGGAACGGAGGGGTTGAGGGCCCTGCTCAATGAGCTTACATGCCAGAGGGAGTTGGGTAAAATTACACAAAAAGGTAAGGATAGTATTAGACTAGTGACAGTTGCAGAAGAGGAATCAGTCGGGAGTTATTAACAGTTTAATTGATACGCTTTTATGAAGAAGTGGGTTTTTAACGATTTTTTTGAAGGAGTGGAGACTGGGTGAGCATCTAACGGAGCAGGGAAGCAAGTTCCACAGGAACGGTGCAGCCCTCAAGAAATCTGGAAGGCGAGCATCAGAGGTGGGAGTATGGACAGAAGATAGACGTAAGTCTTCAGCAGATCGTAAGAGCCTAGACGGGACATACTTGTGTATAAGGGAGGATAGATAGGTGGGAGCACCATTATGTAGAGATTTGAAAGCAAGAACCAGGGACATGAAGTGATTGAAGGGGACTAGCCCTGAGCCTTATATGGGTAGCCAGAAAGGAGTTGAGGTGGACCCTGGTGTGGAGTATGAAGCAAAAGCGGTAATGAGTGTGGGAAGCCTAAGTAGGACTCAAGGTTGGAGAATTTCTGCTTGGATATGAGCCAATCCAAGGCATACCCAAACTGTTTTGGACCTCAGCTTTTAATACTCATAAAAAATTTGCTATTTTCTCATCTTTCTTAACCAATAAACCATAGGATTTAAAAAGCGACACCATCACCACTGTGGGGAGTCGTGCCTTTCTCATTCCACACCACTGGATTTTCTGGGTGGTGAATGGTGATCGCTCCCTGGTATGCTTTCACTATTTTTTACAAGAAAACGGTGACAAAACAAAGCAACAGTCTATATAACATTAAACTTTCATATTTATTATCCCATAAATCACACATAAACCCTATCACAGCTCACTGTAAGGATATGATAAGTCTTTTCGACTCACTCAGTATCGTGGTAGCGTGGCCGAGCGGTCTAAGGCGCTGGATTAAGGCTCCAGTCTCTTCGGGGGCGTGGGTTCGAATCCCACCGCTGCCAAGTGATATTTTTCTCACTTTAACTTTTTAGCCTTTTGATTTCGCTCGCACAGCGCCACCTGGTGTTCACTGCTTCCCCCCTCATGCGCTAAGCATTGTGGGTAAGAGGAGTTGCTCCCCACGTGTTCGTGATGCGAGCAGTATGGCAGCCGCCTGAGAGCCGAATAGCCGCAGCAGGACTTCCCGGACTCGCAGCCCACTATCCCGGTCTGGCAGGTGGGTGAGCCCGGTCTGGGCGTGTTATGTGTTATGTGCCGCACGTCCTCCTGGCAGGAGAGCTGGGCTGTATAATGTCAGGAAACCACCTGCCTGTACATGGGGAGAGCAGTGCGAGGCCTGTCATACCTTCATATTAAATGTTACAGTCAGTCTGGGGGATTCAGTATATACACACCCAGGGCAATGATCCCCCCAATACTGGCACTGCTCATCACAGCTTGCTAATGTGTAGCCATATTCCATTACAGAACACCTCTTACCTATAATCTCACTGTGCCCCCTCCCCTCCTAGAACACCTACTGCCTATAATCTCACTGTGCCCCCTCCCAGAACACCTACTGCCTATAATCTCACTGTGCCCCCTCCCAGAACACCTACTGCCTATAATCTCACTGTGCCCCCTCCCAGAACACCTACTGCCTCTTTATAATCTCTACCTGTGCCCCTCCCAGAACACCTACTGCCTCTATAATTCACTGTGCCCTCCCCTCCTAGAACACCTACTGCCTATAATCTCACTGTGCCCTCCCGCCCAGAACACCTACTGCCTATAATCTCACTGTGCCCCCTCCCCTCCTAGAACACCTACTGCTTGTAATCTCACTGTGCCCCCCTCCTCTCCTAGAACACCTATTGCCTATAATCTCTACCTCAGCTCCCTCCTGCACACCTACTGCCTATAATCTCACTGTGCCCCTCCCAGAACACCTACTGCCTATAATCTCACTGTACCCCCCTCCCAGAACATCTACTGCCTATAATCTCACTGTGCTCCCCTCCCAGAACACCTACTGCCTATAATCTCACTGTACCCCCCTACCAGAACATCTACTGCCTATAATCTCACTGTGCCCACCTGCCCTTCCAGAACACCTATTACCTATAATCTCACAGTGCCCACCTCTCCTCCCAGGTTACCTCTTACCTATAATCTGTGCCCCCCTCCCCTTCCAGAACACCTATCTATAATCTCTCTGCGCCCACCTACCCTCCCAAAATACCTATTACCTATAATCTCTCTGTACCCACCTCCCCTTCTAGAACACCTATTACCTATAATCTCGATGCCCACTTACCCACCCAGAAACCTATTATCTATAATCTCTCTGTGCCCACCTCCCCTTCCAGAACACCGATTGCCTGAATGTATTCTGCCCAACTACCCATCCAGACAACATTACCTATAATCTCTGTGCCCACCTCCTCTTCCAGAATACCTATTGCCTATATTCTCTCTATATGAGCCCACTGTTATTTCTAGAGCCATTGTTACTTATAATCGATTTACCGGCGCGCCCTATCCCTAACAGACTGTCTATTAGTATTGGCTAGGCATTGAAGCTCCTGGTCAAGTGGTCAGTCTTACCCATGAAGCGGTCAGCTTTTACCGTCCTGGGAGTCCTAGGAAAGGAGGTTCACAGTCCCTCTGGTTTTCATCTAACTATCTAATGTGTATATAATGTAATCAGGGTTTAAAACGGGAGGGAGACTTGACTTTGTGAATTCTCATACATATCTGAAGCCCCATAGATATATTTTGGTGAGAAACTAGGTACCCTTATGGTCACTGTACTGCAGTCTATTCTAACTTCACATTTATCTTTTCAAAAACAAATTTGTATTTTATAAATAGCTTATTTTGCTTTGTAGTGCCATTTTTTTGCTTTTTTTTTTTTAAAGTTATATTTTTTTTAATACAAAATATTAGGCTTTGTAACAAGGTAAGACAATCTGAATCATTTTAATGTTTTTTTTTTTTTTTTTTCCTTTTATTACTTAGATTTAGTTTAGAAAGTGGAGCTCAGGGTGCATTATGAGGGAGTGGCAGTGTAGCACGGTAAGATCAGGATATATTAATGTTTATAGTCAATCTTCTGGCCTTTTCTGTCAGCCCAATTTCAGTGATATACAACACTCCAAGTAATGCAAATACCCCAGAAGGTGACAACGCTGATTTAAAGTAGAACTGTCCCTTATCTGGAAATGGCATACACTAAAAAAAAAAAAACATTAAAAATCACCAATAACTCATATTAAATATTTAGCAAATGACTTCCCAAGCCACGGACAGCCAGCTCACACATTGCAAAGTAAAAACATAAATAATAAATATGCCTTTATCTGCTGAATGTCATATGCAAATAGCAGCATATAAATGTGGTTGACAGGGGACGAGATGGAGGAACCCAGTTTCAGGATAAAGAGGTGTTGATTTCTACATTTATATATATATTTTTTTAAAGACCTACCTCACAAATATGTTTGCAAAATATAGGGTAAGTAAGCATAAAATGAATCCTGGGGAGTTAGATGCCCCTTTTATTCGGCTTTCTATTTTTATTTCAGTTTTACTCTGTGACGGTCGTTTATTTAGGCTGTTGGGTTAGTATGTGGTACGGCTTCCATGGTGTATGATGGCCCTTGGAACGTTACCTGTTTCCTGTGTATTCCAAGGTTGTACAAGGTTGATAATATTTCAGTACCAATCACTGTTTTGACCAGTTCGTCCAAATCAAAACCCTTTTAATCCACAGCTGGACTAATCAGTTCATCAAGGATTTACAAGTAGAGTATTATTCAGCGAATAAAACTCCACAGTTAAACCTGGGCAAATATATTAATTCGGGGTGTGGATTAAAATAAAAGGATTTTGATTTGTTCAAACCGTTCTAAGCACATTTTTTGCACAAGTCTGATCAGCACTAATAGATATCTCCATTTCTCCAGTATTTAAAGGATTAATCCTCCTCATATACTATATAGTTCACTATTACGTCTGTTTTAAAGGAACATTTCAAGCACCATAACTACTACAGGGCGCTGTTGTGGTTCGACTGCCTGGCGGCCCCACATTGTCAATAGTCAAACTATTTTGGAATGGTTTGATTTCTTACCTAGTGCCTGCCAGGTGCAGACAAAAAAACTGCCACGTAGGAGTTTCCGATGGCTCTATTGCGCTAAGCCTTGCATCACTGGCTTAACTCAGAGAGCTTCCGGGTCACTAAAGGCTGTACTGAGGATTTTCTTGCCACAGGTAATAAGTCAAACTGTTCTAAAATGACTTAAAGGGACACTCCAGGCACCCAGACCACTTCTGCCCATTGGAGTGCTCTGGGTGCCAAGTCCCACTACCCTTAACCCTGCAAGTTTAATTATTGCAGTTTTCATAAACTGCAATAACTACATTGCAGGGTTAACTCCTCCTCTAGTGGTTGTCTACTAGACCGCCACTAGAGGGCAATTCCTGGTTTCTAGCACAGGTTTTCTGTGCTAGAGCGTCGCTCAATTCCCATAGGAAAGGATTGAAAGCATTTTCAATACTTTCCTATAGAGGTCTAATGCGCGCTCGGTCTCCCTCATCGGATGATGTCGGTGAGGGAGGAGCGTGGGTGGACCCGAAACCACCGCCGAGGGACGTTGGCGGGGGTCTCAGGTAAGTCACTGAAGGGATTTTCACCCCTTGAGCAACATGGGATGGGTAGTGGGAGGGAGAGGGTACCTGCAGTACCAGGAAAACGGTTTGTTGTTGAGACAGAGATGTCAGTGTGGACTTGGCTGAAGCTCCGCAGAAAGAATTGTTGTTATAACTGCGAGCTGATTCATGATGCAGCGTTAAAGTAATCTGAACCGACCTTTACCACAAAGAAAGTCGGAAACCACCCTTTATTTAGAGCATTTATTGCTATTCCACTCCCATTCCACGGACATGTTAATGTAATTCTTTACATCTAAACTAATAAATACAGTAAACGTCTCTTTAAAAAAACAAAAAAAAAACTAAATTCAAAAATTTGCATCTTAAAAGAAAAGATCCACTTCTGCAATTTAGAATGTTAATTAAAGTCAAATGTGAAATTCTCAGTATATTGTATTACTATGATCGTTACTGTGAGTTCATGGACTTTAACCTGAATGTACAGAACTATATATCATTTATGCAAATCCTGTGTTTACATTTAAATGGGTGTCTTAATGATTATCTTTTCCATTAGGTTCTGTAATTCATCCCTCAGTTAAGAGGAACATATTGCTGCTGGTTTCTTCATTAGTATGGAAAATGAAGATGACGATCCAATTATACAGGAGGTAGAGACACCACGCTTTCTAATCTATTTGAAATTTTCATAGTATTGTTAATGCTGTGTAGATGTCCTCTAGACTGTAATTTTTTTTTTATGCAGGCTCCTTAACAACCTATTAATCCTTTAACATTTTGTGTCTTTTATTGTTATATTTCCCCTTTTATTTTATTGTAAAGCGCTGTCGAATAAGTTGGCGTTATATAATTGCCAATATAATAATACTAGAGGTTGTATTGTTGATGATATAAAAAAAAATCCCAAATTTTTATTTATTTATTGCCTGTCACTGTATGTAAGTTAACATAAGAAATCTGCAACAACAGTTTAAAAAAAACCAAACACACTCAAACGGTATCCCACTTTTAGTGACTGTGCCTTTTTAAAGGGACACTATAGGCACCCCGACCACTTCAGCTTACTGAAGTGGGCTGGGTGACGTGTCCCAGGTCGCTTAACCCTGAGCAAGTAATTATTGCAGTTTTTTTAATAAACTGCAATAATTACTATTCAGGTAACTCCACCTCTAGTGGATATTTAACCCTTTTTGCACCACGGGGCTGAGCCGTGACGGAGGGGGAAGCTATAGTGTCAGGAATACAAGTTTTTTTTTTGTTTGTTTTTTCTTGCGTTATAGTTTCCCTTTAAGCCCCCTTGTCGAGCCCCAAGCTCAAATCCTTGCTAAACCTAACTGTGACCTGTCTTATTGACGTTGCTCCCCATTGGGAGACTGTCAGTTTTATACACTAAACAATGAGAAGTGACCAGTTGCTAAGCTGAGGTCAATGTATCTGACCTGGAAATTTCTACAGCTCTTTTTTTACCAGCGTAGTATTTCAGCCTAAAATTTGCAGTGCCTGGTTACTTCCCAGATTAATGACTGACTGGTATGTGTAAAAATTACTTGGTTGTATTAAGTGTTTGTTGTCAGTTATTGGTTTAGCAACTACCCTGATGGAAAAAACCCATATATTTGCATTTTTGTGCAAAGTGAAATAATTGCACTGAAAAGAGTGCCCAATGTAATTTGTATCTTGTACAAACTCTTAGTGTTCATTAAACCAGAAAATTTGGTAGCAACGTTGCCACGTTTAGATCAAAGGATTCAGTGACTGAGCCAGTTTAACATAACATTCTACGTTTTTGGAGTAGTGTTTTAAGTTAAAACCCTGTCAATGACATCTCTTAAAAACAAAAAAACAATAATAGAACATAGTTCACCCTCAGACCTTCATCTTTTTTAATACTGATATTTAAATAAATTGAAGTGGCTGATAACCACTGGCTTCCACTTATTGCTGTTCAAATGTCTTCATGCCAGTCTGCAGCATATGAAGAACTAATGACTTGCAATGATAACACAGTCAGTCTGACACTTTTGCCTCTCCACTAATAATCATTGAAGACAACTAGAGGCTTAGGATTGGCTGAAAGATCTGACAATTTCTGCCAATCACATGTTTTCTGTGGGGAAAACATGCAGAACAGAGGCCGTGATCTATTTATTTTGAATGCATCAGACTAAAATGTGCAATTATTACATCCTAAAACACCCATTATAACACATTTAGTATCAGATTTGTAGCAAATGTTTTTATGAAGAAAATTTTCAGTACTCTGGGTTTTAGTCTGACTCTGAAATGCTGCTCCATTGACATCCATTGTTTCAACCAGACAAACCAAGTGTCAGGACAAGAGTACCCTTGTGCACATTGTGAGCGCTCCAAGAGATGTGACCTCTGGGAGACATTGAATACATGCAGCTATTCATGCTGATATCCTAGAATGCCGTTATTTAGGAGTCGGTGTCGTCTAAAAGGGATTTAAGAAATAGATGTGATTTTTTTCCTTAAAGTGCCCTAGACATCAGTTGGAAAGTTAATTTGCTGTTCCTTGTTTTGTATCCCATATATAGCAGGGATATGTGATCTTATATACTATCTGCGCATTGGCCTACCTGTATAATTATGTCTGTATGCACTGCTCTTATTCACATAATGCAAGTTATTAGTCCCATTATCTGAGTTTAATCTCCCTTAAAAATCAGGTTTCTGGTTGGCAAGTTTATCAGTTGAATTAATTTTGCTATTTCATTTACCCTACCAGATCGATGTCTTCCTGGCTAAAAGCCTGGCCGAAAAACTCTACCTGTTTCAGGTAAGCTTCTAAATTGTGATAATTCCAATTAAGATCAATTCTGCTGCTTTCTGTGAACATGAGAATATTGAGAGTTTGCAAGACTTGTTTGTATTTTTGTTTAACTCCTCCTCCCGGAGCCTTTATCAAGTCTGTTGATTGATAAAGCCTCAGAGAAGAGACAAAACGTTGCCTCCACTTCCTTGTTTCAAATAAAGACTGTCTCTTTTAGAAGAAACTTCAGGTGTTCCAATTGTTGTAATTTAGAACAGAATGCAGTCTAATGGACAAAAAACACCCACCCTGCAGCAACCCCCATTTCTCATTCATTGTTTACAGCGTCTATGACCCTGATTCCAAGTGCATGATGCTTGGTTGCTTTTGCCAATAAGTACATAATGAAACCTTGTATGTTTCCTTTAGTACCCAATCCGACCGCTGTCGATGACCTATGACCGAGTGACACATTTATCAGCAAAGATTAAACCAAAGCAACAAAAGGTATGTGCCCCCCGGCTTTATTTGCACTTTATTACATAAATCATTTTGCTATTTTGAAATCATTGCTGCCGATTCTTCAAGTATTTGTTGCATTTATTTTCCTGGTGCTGTTGTCTGTACTCTGTGAATGCCAGAAGTGTCCCCAAGACATGGATTCGCAGTGCGTTAGGACAACGTCTGGCAATCAGATGGTTCAACGTGTTCTCATTTCTACATTCCTTGTACTGTCTTTTAGGTGGAAGTCGATGTGGCTATCAACACAGTGAGCCCCAATTACTGTCGCAGTAAAGGGGAACAAATTGCTCTGAATGTCGATGGCGCCTGTGGAGATGAAACCAGCACATTCTCAACGTATGTACATGCTGACTGTATGCTCAGCGTTTACCTTAGTAAAAGAACATTAAATATTCTAATAAAAAAGGGGTCTCCAAACATACACACTTTGGGTGCAACATGTTGGTTATGCCGGCTGGTATTTTTTTTATATATATCATTTATTGTTTGTTTTTATTGTTTCTGGCTCCATAGCCCTATCCTTTTTATCCATATTTTCCAACTTGCAGTGTTTATTTCTTTGTTCCCTTAAAGGAACACTGCATTTATATTTTTTAACAGTTTAGTAGATATACCCCATGGAACTGTGAGTGTATTTTATTTTCTGTATGTTTTCGTTAGGGTAAATGAACATAAAAATAAAAAATGGCTTGCAAAAGTTGCAGAGTACCATAAACCATGCACACCATGGTTTTAGTTTTAGTCCATCTACTTTATGTACTAGTGCCATTTACTGTCCCTCATTCTGCAGACTTTACTGTCTGGCTCTATTTTTCTCTGTTACAACACAACTAATACCGGGAGGTTTTCATACCTGTTGACAAACCGTTAAAATCTGTTTCCTCCAAGTTGCTTCTCTTCTCCAGCTTATTCAGTCTTTCATGATGGTTAAACGCCATAGAACTTGTTTTCTGCAACAATTGAATAGTCTATCAGTTCTCCAACAACATTAGCTTGATATCAGTCCTGCACCACCACCACCTCACACTGCTCTTATTGTGTGTTACCTGTACAGCAATCCGCAACCTCGCAAAGTACTACTGCAATTCTGTCTGGAGGAATTCCCTCCACTTCAAGTTTATACTTTTATTAATAAACCTGTACACCTCTCAAAACAAACCATTTACATTGCAGAGTCTATCTAGTTATCAAAACCGTTTGGGGTTTTGTGTGTGCTTTTTTTGTTTTGTTTTGTTATACTTTATTTTGCTGTTATTTATATTTCTTAAATAAGAATTTACTTACTAACAGGAAACTTATGGATAAGCAGACATTCTCATCCATTCAAGCTGCAAGCAACACATCTCGGTATGCAGCGGCTATATTTCGAAAAGGTATGCTTAAATTATTATTGGTCTCTTTTTTTACAATCTATGTAGTCTCTTAACAAAATATTACGTTAGCCTGAATGGAGTTAAAGGGGCAACTATAGTGCCAGGAATGCAAAGCTGTATTCCTGGCACTGAAGCTCCCTCTGCCTCCCCCTTCACTCGTGTCCCCGCCACAGTAAATAAAGTGTTAAAAATCCTTTATTTATTTGCCTTATCTCCACCCGATTACGGTGAGGGAAAAAAGTATTTGATCCCCTGCTGATTTTGAACATTTGCCCACTAACGAAGAAATGATCAGTCTATAATTTTAACGGTAGGTGTATTTTAACAGTGAGAGACAGAATAAAAAAAAATCCAGAACGCATGTCAAAGTTATACATTGATTTGCATGTCAATGAGTGAAATATGTATTTGATGTATACGTATTTGACCCCTTCAACTTAGTACTTGGTGGCAAAACCCTTGTTTGCAATCACAGCGGTCAGACATTTCTTGTAGTTGGCCACCAGGTTCACACACATCTCAGGGGGGATTTTGTCCCTCTCCTCTTTGCAGATCCTCTCCAAGTCATTAATTATTTTCGAGACTGATGTTTGGCAACTCAAACCTTCAGCTCCCTCCACAGATTTTCTATGGGATTAAGGTCTGGAGACTGGCTAGGACACTCCAGGAAATTAATGTGCTTTTTCTTGAGCCACTCCTTTGTTGCCTTCACTGTGTGTTTTTGGGTCATTGTCTTGCTGGAATACCCATCCACGAACCATTTTCAATGCCCTGGCTGAGGGAAGGAGGTACTCCCCCAAGGTTTTTGATGGTACATGGCCCCGTCCATCGTCCCTTTGATGCCGTGCAGTTGTCCTTTCCCTTAGCAGAATCACCCCCAAGGCATTATGTTTCCACCACCATGTTTGACGGTGGGGGTGGTGTTCTTGGGGTCATAGGCAGTATTTCTCCTCCTCCAAACATGGCGAGTTGAGTTGATGCCAAAGAGCTTGATTTTGGTCTCACCTGACCACAACACTTTCACCCAGTTCTCCTCTGAAGCATTCAGATGTTCATTGGCAAACTTCAGACAGGCCTGTACTCTAGCAGGGGGACCTTGTGGGCGCTGGAGGATTTCAGTTCTTCATGACGTAGTGTGTTATCAATTATTTTCTTGGTGACTATGGTCCCAGCTGCCTTGAGATCATTTAAAAGATCCTCCCGTGTAGATTCCCCACTGTTCTCAAGATCATTGAAACTCCACGAGATGAGATCTTGCATGGAGCACCAGACTGAGGGAGACTGACAGTTATTTTGTGTTTCTTCTATTTGCGAATAATTGCACCAACTGTTGTCACCTTCTCACCAAGCTGCTTGGCGATGGCCCATTCCAGGCTTGTGTAGGTCTACAATCTTGTCCCTGGCATCCTTGGACAGCTCTTTGGTCTTTGCCATGGTGGAGAGTTTGGAATCGGATTGCTTATGTGGACAGGTGTCTTTTATACAGGTAACGTGCTGAGATTAGGAAAAGTCCCTTTAATAGAGTGCTCCCAATCTCAGCTCGTTACCTGTATGAAAGACACCTGAAATCCAGAACTCTTGCTGATCGATAGGGGATCAAATACTTATTTCACTCATTGACATGCAAATCAATTCATAACTTTTTTGACATGCGTTTTTCTGTTTGTTTTTTTGTTGGTTTTTTTGTTCTTCTGTCTCTCACTGTTAAAATACACCGTTTGTCAATGGGCAAACGTTTAAAATCAGCAGGGGATCAAATACTTTCCCCCCTCACTGTACATACCTGGTAGACAGCCACTGGAGGCGGACTTAGTGCTGCAGTGTAAACATTGCAGTTTCTCTGTTGGAGATTTCTTATTATTTAGGTGATGGTGACATTAGGTAACTGTGCCCCTGATCTCACAGTGTGCAGTTCTTCATGTATAGTTGGCAAAGTCCATGTGAAACTTAAACGTATTATAGGTTTTCTTGATCCAGCCACCATTTCACCCCTATTTTTATGGCATCTCATCCCTTACACAGGTGAGCTTCATGTGACACCTCTGCATGGTTTGCTGCAAATGCGTCCCAGCTTCTCCTACCTGGACAAAGCAGACACTAAACATCGAGAGAGAGAAGCTGCCAATGAAGGTAGCAATGTTACAAGACTATGGTGTCTTTTGTGTCGGTTCTCGGTTTTAGCAAGGTAACCATACTTAATATGTGCTTTTCCTTAGCAGCTGGAGATTCATCTCAGGATGAAGTTGAGGACGATGTGAAGCAAGTGACTGTAAGTCTAACATGGAAGTTGCTGCCAATTTGTATTTATTTAAATTTTTTTTTATTTCTCACTGCTGTAAATGTTCACGTTGAGGTTTAAGCAGGGGTGGCCAGGAACTGTATCCTCAGTTGTTGCAGAACTATAACTCATATTATACTTTGCCAGCCTTACTGCTCGCAAAGCAACATGGGAGCTGTAGTCCTGCTACATCTGGGTGTCTACCATTTGGCCACTCCAGGTCTAAATGGTAGAGGAGTGTGTCTAAAGACAGGTGTAAGTATCTTTTGTTTAGCTTTATTTTTTTTATCTGCGCATATATGTGTGTGTGTGTATTTATAACAAGTCAAAAATGGGGTCATTTCCAGCCTTACATGTCCCTTTCTGTTGGCCGCAATTTCCTGTGCTCTCCTTGTAATTTGTGGACGACTAGAATTGTGTTTTCATGGGTCTTAATGCATAAGATGCTCTTATCTAGAAATATAGTAATGGAATATCGTGAAAGGCTCGCTCACATTAAATAACAAAATGGACATGATTGGAATTCACCTGTTGATTTTGTTTCTTCAATAGCGGATTATAAGTTGCACTCTTACATTTCTTTCATATTCTTTCTCCTCCTTCTTTGTTGTTTAGCTCAAAGTCGTTTTATAGCCATCATTTAAAAGCTGAACTAGGTGTGTTTGGGTGTCTCCTGATTCTAAAAGTATTGTGTTGTAGCATGCATTGCTTGTCATACAGGATTAACTGTCTACCATCTGTTAGAAGGTGATGAGTAAGACATTCACAGTGATCGAGCTCCTCCTTTTATGAAATGTATTCTTTTAAATTTGTTCTCGGGTAACTAGTAAAACACTGTGTGGGATCTGCTGTTAAAGCAGTCTTGGGATTCAATTGCAGTAAACTGACACTTCAGGCAGGATTTGACCCATTTTTCTTTAAAATCCACTTAATCTAAATTAATAGATTAATACAGATACTTCTACTCTGTTCCTGCACTTAAAGGACCACTATAGTGCCAGGAAAACATACTCGTTTTTCTGTCACTATAGTGCCCTGAGGGTGCCCCACCCTCAGGGTCCCCCTCCCGCCGGGCTGGATGGAGAGGAAGGGGTTAAACTTACCTCTTTTTCCAGCGCCGGGCAGGGAGCTCTCCTCCTCCTCTCTGCCTCTTCTCCTCCTCTTCTGCTGAATGCGCATGCGCGGCAGGAGCCGTGCGCGCATTCAGCCAGTCCATAGGAAAGCATTCACAATGCTTTCCTATGGACGCTGGCGTCTTCTCACTGTGATTTTCACAGTGAGAAACGCGTAAGCACCTCTAGCAGCTGTCAATGAGACAGCCACTAGAGGCTGGATTAACCCTTACATAAAAATAGCAGTTTCTCTGAAACTGCTATGTTTATAGAAAAAAGGGGTTAACCCTAGATGGACCAGGTACCCAGATCACCTCATTAAGCTGCTGTGGTCTGGGTGCCTATAGTGGTCCTTTAACACCCGGCTAAACCTAATCTAATCTACACAGAGCACCAAACGTATCTGGGTGTCTGGAGTGTTATGGTTTAAACTTGGAGCACTACCTGTAGTTGCAATATGCTGTTTTTCTTTTTTTGATATTTTGCTTTAGATTTTAGGAGTCGTGGATCGCTTAAATAGTTAATTTTATTATAAAAACACACTGAGGGTGATCAATAGGTACCGCTGGTATCATTTTCTAAGATGTGTGTGTCACTAGCTTGGTAACCCCCTTCTTCGATGAGAAAAACACATTGCTATCCATTCTCTAATAGTGAAATCAATGTGACACATTCTTCCACTGAAATAAATAACATTCTGCACAGCTGCTTGTGGCCTATATTGTCTACATATTTCAACCAATGGAGAGCCATTAAGGCTGTAGGTTATGTCCTCTGCTTACTATTATTGTGTTCTATTGGACACCATCCATTTATGATTTTAATTCTTTCCCGTCTTCATTGCAATGGAATAGTCTGTACTATCTTATTAAACGGTATCCTTTAACTCGGTGCTTTTACCCCACTGTAGGTACGCTTCTCTCGCCCGGAAAGTGAACAAGCACGGCAGAGGAGGGTCCAATCTTATGAATTCCTGCAGAAGAAGCAGGCCGAAGAGTCCTGGGTTCACCTTCACTATTACAATATCAAGGTACGCACAACTTACCTGCAGATGCATATCAGGAGTTAAAGGAACACAAATGTGTTTCTAACACTATAATTCCCTGTTGGGAGTTAAGATTACCCCTGCTCCACTCTCTGAAGGGGAAAAAAAGCAGCTTTGTTTACCTTTTTTCCTTATGGAGCAAAACTCTGTACGCAGCAAGACTGATGAGTGACCGCTGCTAGAGACATTTAAACCCTGCGATGTAAACTTTGCGGTTTCTGCAGGAAGACAATGTTTTACATTAGGCAGGGTTAAAAAGACCGGGGAATGGCACCCAGACCACTTCATTGAGATGTAGTAGCCTTTTGGTCAAGAAAACACACCCCTACTATTCTCCACACTTAATTTCACATTGCTGTTGATGTCTGTCAATAGACAGTCAATGGAGGGCTACATGTACATTGGGGGTTCTAAAGGCATTTTACAGTTTGTGGTTAATTATGATTTCTCCAGAGCCACTCAAATGCTCTATTCTCCCATACTACATCTATATCTGTTATGGATCATGCATCCTATATACTATATATATTAATTTCCAAGTACATCCATTTGCGTGTAAATGCCTTCTTGAATAATGAGCAGGTTGCTTTATATGATTCCGTATTCAATGAAATCATGCTGTACTGGAACAGTTTATAGAATTTCAGCACTAGCATTAAGAGGACCAGGATTTGCTGGAAAGTCTTAGCCAGTTCCTAGTCTCTGCATACAGCCCTTTGGAAGAAGCAGATTTTCAGGTTTTCTTCACTCAGTCAATCATCACTGTTGGTGTTGGGTGATATATATGTATGTATGTATATGAAAATTCAGTATTATCAATGTGGCTAAGGGGGGGTTTCTGGATCCCAGGAAGCAACACATTTTATATATATATATTTTTTTTTGTCAGAAATCTGTGGGGCAACCCCAGATACAATTAGAGTAGCCATGATGACTTTTTATTTACATCCTGGGAAATCTCACTATTTGTGCTCCTTTAGGACAGTCGTACGGAGCTCGAGCGCCAGTATTTGCTGTGCCAGAATACAAACACAACCGAGAACACAGAACTAATGAAATCCCCCAGGTAAATACTTTGGATCGAAAGTTCACTGGCTTATTTACTAAAGGGAGAATTTAAATTTAATGCCAGATGAGCAGAACGTACAGCGTAGCTGGCTTAGACAATTTTTCCAGTTTCACTATTTTGACTTTAACTTTGAAATTCGCTTTAAATTCTCACTTGGGGGATAACACTGTTAATGCCCAACAATCCCCTGTGTCCTTCTTCCCATTTCCTTCACTTTACGCTCTTACTTTGTTCGAGCCCAATTCAGCCTTTTCTTCCCTTTTTACTCAAAGGGTTATCATTCTGTCCTGCACAGAGCTATTTACCAAAAAAAAAAAAAAAAAAGTAGCACATTAAATCCAAATGGCAATATTGAGGCTAAAAATTCTGATCTGCGATAAGTGGGTTGTAGAATTTTTCCAAACTCTTTATTGGTCTCAATTTTGTTATTTTGAAGTTAGAGTTCAATGAATAACCTTAAAGTATAGTGTTAACTAAAGAAAAAAACATTTACATTGGAACTCTGTACAAGGTTTTAGATGTTCTCTCCATGAGAAATTGGTAAGACCATCCCATCTTATCCTGAAATCTGTTCTTTTCCACAGTGAATATCTGGAGATGCTGATGCCTCCCTGTGTCGAGGAGGAAACGTAAGTGTTATCCCCCCCCCCCCCACTCCCCTGTTTATTAATGCACTTATCCATTTGTAGCCCTTTGGAATAAATGTGGATTGATTAAAGTGTTCATTCAATATAAGGATTCTCAGTGTATTTCCATACCTTCTCCCTGTTCAGTCTCATAGTATTCAGATGCTTTAATATTCTTGTTTAAAGGGAGACTAGAAGCACCAAAACAGCTTTAGTTTAAAGGAACATAGTGTTAGAAATACGCTATAGGTCTTCCCCATAGAAAAAAATTGAATCCGTGATTTCCTATTGGGTTTTTGAAGACACTGGGTATGGAGGACATCTTGCGTTGTTTCACAGAGTTAAACTCCATGACGCTCCACTGCAATAATTAATTTTACAGGGGCACTGCACCAAGACCACTTAAATGAGATGAAGGGATCTGGGTGCCTATAGTGTCCTTTTAATTGAGTGGTTTTGGCGTAAGGATCATGCCCATGCAGTCCCACTGCTCAATTCTCTGCCATTTAGGAGTTAAATCACTTTGTTTATGCAGCCCTAGTGACACCTCTCTGAGTTTAACCTACACAATCTCCCTACATACTTCCTGTAAAGAGAGATCTAATGTTTAAACTTCCTTTATTGCACATTCTGTTTAAATTAGCATGTTATCTACAACTCTGCTAGAGCCTCCCGTGTGTGAGTAAAGTTCAATTAACATACAAGTAGATTGAAAACTTTTTTAAAGTGAACACACTGTGCTGTCAAATATGATTTGAAAATTACACTATTTTCTCATGAAAGCTGTATTAGTTACATCTGGGGAGGTTGTGGCTGAAACAAAAGTGATTTTACTCCTAAGTGGCAGAGAATTGATCACTAAAACTGCTTGCTAAAAGTTGTTTGGTGCTTAGAATGCCACGTTGAAATGGTCACTTCCTCAATGTTTCCGTTGCAGTTCGCTTATATTCAGACACTTCAAATCCGTTCGTAATTAATGATCCAATAGGGTAGGCAATAACTTGCCTTAAATTTTTATTTTTTTTATTTTCAGCTGTATGCTTTTCTAATTTGTCTTCTGTTTTTGAGTTTTTTTTTGGTCTTTCTATTCAAACCATTAAACCGATTAAAGTCACAATCTTTGTATGTTTTTAATTAGAGAGAAGCCTGTTTCTCCGAGCAACGTACTGTCAATGGCTCAGTTAAGAACTTTGCCCCTGGGAGATCAAATCAAGATTCTAATGAAGAATGGTAAGTTGTAATTGTAATTAGACAATAGGAGAATTCAGTATGATACAGGACTGTTAAACAGAATTCAACTACATATGTTAGCTGAGTATTTTAAGTTTACTTCTAAATAAAACTATGAACATTAACCGTAAAATAGAAATTGGAAGAGAATAGTAGTCTGTCTGTAGGCTGGGAAAGTGTAATTAATGTCAAGACTCCGGTAAACGTTAATTCTTCGGAACAATGTTCTACGGCATAGGGTTCGGCAAAGAGACCAAAGCATGTGTCAATGGGTTTCTCTTAAAGAAAATGTATGGGCTCATAGGTTTCCAGTACTGAATAATCTAATTAGATAATTGCGTTTTGTTTTGTAGTGTTTCTAACCAGCCAATACTAAATGCTTATGTTTGTGCTTAGTAATAGGAAAAGGGCAATGGGCAGTATCCAAATATGGAGGTTTTTATTTTTTTTCTTCTTCATGAAAGGTGTATTTTCAGGTGTGGATGTTGGTGTTGGCTACATAGGAGCTCAGTTGGTCCAAAACATTGCATCATTTCACATAATTGCCTTGTTAACTTGAATTGGAGGCTAATTTAGGAATAGTTGGCGGATAGGGAAATATGAGTGGTGTAAGACTTTCAGGAATATCTCTTGGTAGGTGGCTACTGATACATTTTATTTTTAAGTGCAATGAACTTCTAGGAGGGTTTGTGGATCGTTGTTCACCCCCATATCATTGGAGGTTGGTGTATACATTCTGGCACATGGAACTTTTCAAAGTCTTGGTAGCAACTCTGACATTTTACAGTTCGAACATTAAAACAATCTGTGGGAACATTCCATCGGTTTCCATGGGGATTGTGCCATGTCTAGATCAGTGCAACAGTTTTTTAAAATAATTTTGTGCAAGAATTTTTAACCACATACCCTCTGCCATTGGGAACACTCAGACCTGGTTATGACGATAACTATTGATCAGGATGTAGTAGGCTAACATTTGACTTCATTATATCCGGATCTGGGTTAACAGCACATGCAACCTATTGTGATAAATCATTTCTAAATGCAGATTGCGACACAATCTATAACAACCCCTAATGTCTTTGATTTCACTGATTAATGATCAGTATACAATATAAATTCCTGGTACGTGTCCATTTGATGAACGCTTGGTGCCCTAAAACTGTGGAAATAACCTGTGTAAACTGGTTCAGATACTTTTACAGTTTTTCTGTTTTGTTTTTTGATCTGTCATTTTCTCAGTGTTTTTCTTTTTTTTTTTTTCTATCCAGTTAAAGTTATACCTTTTGCAAACCTAATGGGATTAATGGCAGCTGGCACAGAATCGATTGCAGTTATGCGATGCATACAGCAGGTGGCAATGTTGGTCCAAGGAAACTGGGTGGTTAAGAGGTAAGCAATAATCATAGAGGTGATTTTAAAATATATCCAATCTAGTGACACCCAAAAATGTGCAATAAGAAATGCAGGTGTAAAAAATAAAGCCTGTAGTGATCACAACAAATCGTGTAACAATATGGCAGAGCTGTAAAAAGTTTTTTTTTTTTTTTGTTTTGTGGGGAACCTATTTATTTTTTTGTCCTAGAATATAGAGAAATTATGACAATTTGCCTGGAATTCCAAAATCTATATTGGTGTACTTCCAAAGGGTAGCCAGCAGGTGGCTGTCTTGACAATTATTTAGCTTCTTCAGCTGTTTATAGGTGAAAAGGGATAATCTGTTGGCTCCACCTGGAGTAGACGTACAACGAGCAGAGTAGTTTGTTGCTCACCAGTAGTCTGTCTTTTTGTATGTCTGCATACACAGCCTGTTATTAAAGGCTGATTAGGAAGAGTTCAGCTGCTGATGACATGCAATTTATATCACTGCTGGCCGCTGTGGGATTCTTGGACAATACTGGTTCTAGTAGAATGTCCGTTGATTGTGGGTAGATATCGCAAACTCATTCACAGTACATTGCACTTAAAGTGAACCTGACACAAATCATCCCACTATGCACTGAATACATCATACACCACAGATACACATGGCATATTCAATGTAAAGTTTAGAGATAACCACTGATCCGGCATTTACTCATTAACTTTTTTGCATTATGATGCATGCATGGGTTTGCGCTTTAGCGTCCCACTTCCCATATTTAGGTGCTTTACCGGGATGTATACTCTCCCATATATTGGATTGTATCGGACCCCCATTTGAGTAGTTGGAAGCACTTGGATTGGCTGATATATCAGCAATTTCCCAGTGGTTGTGTGCAGAAACAGATATTGGGACTTGCTAAATATAAAGAAGATGTTTAAATTCAGTAATTCTACATTGGCCCTTTAAATAAAATGTTATGCAAAAATGTAGGTCTTTCTGTGTATTCTTCGCTTTCATTTATCTGAATGGTTTATGCTGTTTTTTTTCATCTTAAATAAACACTTGAGCTCTGTTTTATATATATATATATATATATATATATATATATATATATATATATATATATATATATATATATATATATAAAATTTCTTTTTTAATTTATTATTTTTGTTTTTGAAACTTAACAAAAAAAAATCACTCTCATAAAAGGTGTTCTGGGACAGTTATCAAATGTATGTGACACAGAGCTCCAAAAATGAAGGGACAAACAAACAATGGGGGATTACCCTTCCAGGTGATAAACGAAAAGGCCAGTAATATGGTGTCAGAGAATTAAAACATAACTTTTATTAATAAAAAGAGAAAAAAAAAAAAAAGTACTATAAGATGTCTTCTGAATTTACATGCTACACTTCACTATAAGAATGTTTTCAAACCTCTCTCTCCTTAATGCATTGAAAGACAAAACTAGCCGCACAAGTTAAAATAAAATAAATCCTCACAATCTCCAAGAGTATTTCTTGTCAGGCAAGTATATCATATCTAATAGCAGATTTCCTTAATGTCGCTCTTGGAACCGAAAACAAATAAAATACTTCCCTGTCTACAAAACGTCCCTATCTTTGCAATACAATATAAATTGTGTTGCAATAATTCAGGTTAACAGTCCGGTTTGAATTCATTAATATAGTGGTTTGTATGGAGTATAAGATTTATCCTTTAGTACTTGTTTTTATTATACTCTTATTGGTAAAAGTTATGTTTCAGCTTGGACACCACATTACTCCTCTTTTTGTTATGGAATATAGTATTTGTCTCATTCCTCGTCATTAAAGGACCACTATAGGCACCCAGACCACTTCAGCTTAATGAAGTGGTCTGGGTGCCAGGTCCCTCTAGGGTTAACACTTTTTTCTATAAACCTAGCAGTTTCAGAGAAACTGCTATGTTTATATTAGGGTTAATCCAGCCTCTAGCGGCTTTCCTACGAGACTGGCTGAATGCGCGCGCGGCTCTTGCTGCGCATGCGCATTCAGCCGAAGAGGAGGAGAAGAGGGAGGAGAGCTCCCCGCCCGGCGCTGGAGAAAGAGGTAAGTTTAACCCTTTCCTTTCCATCCAGCCCGGGGGGAGGGGGACCCTGAGGGTGGGGGCACCCTCAGGGCACTATAGTGCCAGGAAAAGGAGTATGTTTTCATGGCACTATAGTGGTCCTTTAAATGTAGCATGTAGCTCTAAGAACTTGGTGTTTAGATGATGTCACCTGTCTTAAGTTAAAATAAAGCTCTCCCATAATTTTGCTTTTTATATTCTGTAGTGGTTTGATAAAGGGCTTTTGATACCTGTGAGATGTTTATTTAGCTCACTTGGTACAATTTAAAGTAAGCAGAGAAATGATCTTTGAGGCAGAATTTTTTTTTTTTTATGGACTTGTGCTCCAGCGCACATGCTTTAAATGTATGTATGTATATAGTACTGATTTCTAGCAAATGTATTGTTTGTACCACTTTAAGCACTGTAAGATACTGTATGGCAATATTTTCCCCTCGCGTTATAATATACCAGTTGTGTGAAATAAAACCGTGAAATGATTTGTGTTAATCTGTGTCCTTTAGTGATGTTGTTTACCCAAAGGAGTCCTCCAGTCCTCACAGTGGCGTCTCGGCAGAAGTGTTGTGTCGTGGCAGAGACTTTGTTGTAAGTTTGTGTGCTGAAAAATCTAAACGTGGCTGATTGAAGTCTAATTGCTTTTAACACCTTGCTTAGCAACCTGCTAGAGAATGATAGAACGATTACATGTTTGCTTCACCACCCAATGTGTTACTTTTGTTGTAAGGTTCACAAGTTTTACATTTGATTTTACATTTTATGTCTGGCTGTCCTGGCACACCCAGAGTTAAAGGGACGCTATAGGCACCCAGACCACTTGATCTCATTGAAGCTGTCTGGGTGCAGTGTCCCTGTCCCCCATTGCAGTTTTAGCGAAAAACACAATGTTTTCATTCCAGTGTTAAGACTGCCTCTAGTGGCTGCCTACCAGACATCCACTAGAGGCATTTGTGTTGGTCCACAGAGGGGGCACAGACAGAGTAAGGTGAGTGTTTAAAGGGATATTTAAAACTTTGAGTGCAGCTGGAGGTGTAGAGGGACACTCTAGAGTTCGGGATACAGCTTTGTATGCCTAACACTATATAGTGTTCCCTTAACCATGCAAATTGAATTAACCCTTTCTATACCTGGAACTTGGAAGTGCCATGGCAGATTTTTTTCTTTCTCTCTCCCTCTTGTCTCTAATGCACAATTAACCACTGCAAGAGCTTTAATAGCATTTCCTGAGCTGATGGGATGAGGAACTGTCACTTCTACAAAAGCAACAGTTTTCCTTTAAGGCCTTCAATCAAACCAGTGTAGGGGCTGGATACATTTTTCCACCTCATACAGGTTGAAGGAGAGACCACAATCAATTTTGAAAGTGTGGAAGGGCCTGTCAAGGTTTATAGTACATTTAAACATATATATATATTGTGGTTCAGAATCAGAATAGAAACTGTTAAAGGACCACTATAGTCACACAGACCACTTCAGCTCAATGAAGTGGTCTGGGTGCCAGGTCCCCCAGGTGTGGTCCTTTAAAATCTGCTTCTGAGTGCAACTCGGGGCACCTGTACGGATCCGAGAAGGAAAATAGTTTTGAAAATGTGAACAAAATCTTCATATCTGTGTTGGCAAACATGAATTCCATCACACATTGAACTGCTGAGACCGTATTTAAAAGTATAGCACAAGTATGAGGGCTAATGCCCCTACTTATGTCTGTGGGTTAATTTACCCATTTCATACTATGTTGTTGTTTTTTTTATCTTTGTCCTTTAGATGTGGAAATTCACACAGGATCGCTGGGTGGTGAGAAAAGAAGTTGCTACTGTGACAAAAGTAAGGATCTGCTAATTCAGCTTTGTTTTCAAATCAACCATTCTGGCCTAAACGTTGAAATTTTCTCTACTGATCTTGAATTCCTGGCAAGTCACAGTTTAGTGAATAACTCTGCGATGAGGGTTATTGTTTCCTGTTTAAAGTGAATTTCAAATTTTAGGTCCACATAGCTGATTTGGGGAATTTTTCCAATTTGAATGTTTTGGCTAAAATTCTCTTTGAATAAAGTGTACTTGTCAATAATGTGTTTACATTTTATTTATTTTATTTTTGTTAAGAAAAAGTCAGAGAAGATTTTAAACTGTATAAAAATTTAAATCTGGTTGTTTACTTGTTCTGAAGTTGGTGCTGTTGCCATTGAATCTACCACCTTATCTCTGCAACTCTTGGCAACGTTGCTTTCCTGCACGGTCCTTGTATTCTGTGTAAGAATAGCGGACGTGAGTGGAGAAGGACATCTATTGCACAATATAGAAGAAGAAACCTGCCACCTAAGATGTTAACAGAACACTAAACACCAGCTTCATTTTTATTTTATTTTTTAAAGCCTGACTTAGTAAAAAAAATAATCTGGATTTATTTCCAGTAACTGATCATACATTACATAACAATACATAATCCTGCCAAATGTTAATGTATCCCATTCTTGGCAGGTTCTGTCCTAACAACCTAATCCAGTTACTTGGAGAATGCTTCCTCCTGGAACTCTCTGCAGGGCAGGTTAAATAGGGCCCTGGAATGAAGAGGGGTTAAAAACCAGGAAGTTGCCCTGAGCTCCCAAATATATTTACATCTGTAACCAAGAGCTGCACGAACCTATGTTATATTATTTGTCCCAATCAGCACCCTTATAATGTATGCATGTTTATGTGAGTGCAGCCCTCTTGGCTTCATATGTATGTATACAGACGATCTCTGTATCGTGTGTGAATTGTGTAAATACACATGTAAATTGTAATTGTGCATTTTTTGTGACCGTACCCCCTTAGTTGTAACAGGTATATATTCAGACATTTGGATGTATCGTAAGCGTGGAACTTGTTGTACTCTAAGTTTTAGCTGTGTGTGTGTGGTACACCAGGTGTTCAGCTATAACTCCCAAACTGAATTGCCTCCATGCCAGAGGCCGCTGCTGGTCTGTGTACAAGCCAGTTGTATTTTAGCATCTCCTTTTCGTCTCCAGCTTTGCCAAGAAGACGTGAAGGATTTTCTAGAGCACATGTCTGTTCCCCGGGTTAACAAGGGATGGGAGTTCATGCTGCCTTATGACGAAGACTTTGTAAAGAAGCACCCGGATGTGGTTCAGAGGCAGACCATGCTGTGGAAAGGCATACAATCCAAGTAAGTCAAAAACGACCGTGCAATAGACCTTCCCAAATACAATGTATAAACGCATCATGGTGACAAGAGTGTGCATTGTGGGAAATGTATTCCATTGAAGGTTTCTGGAGTAATCATCATAAACCAAAAGTCTCTCAAACTCTCTAGTAATGCCCTAACATACATTCATTGTGATCTACTTTTTATGTTATATGTTTTTAATTGAATTCAAAATTATTAAAATGTTTAAGCCACAATAGCTGCACTGAATACATAGCTAGAACATTTTTTAAATGTTTAAAAAAAAATTGCCTTAAAATGTGAATTTCACTACTTGTCATACTATTGTTTTTTTGTATAGTATAGCCGCTAAATGGATACTTATAGGCATCAAAACCTCTTTAGGTTATTGCAGTGGTTTTGGTGTATAGATCATGCCTTTGCGGTCTCACTGCTCAATTCTCTGCCAATAAGGAAACACTTTTGTTTCTGTTTATACAGCCCTAGCCACACCTCTCCGGCTGTGACTTATACAGTCTACATGAAAAAAAAATGGTTTATTTTTCCATCGGATGTTAACTTGCTTTAGAAGTACTTATCTCCTGATCTATAGATTGATCTTAAATCAAGAGGGGGTTTCTGCTGGGTCCTGCAGGCTATTAAGATAGCAGGAGATAAGAAATTCAAATGAGGCCCCCTATAGCTGGCTGTGGATCTGCCAGCAGGGGGCCTGTCTGAAATGTCACAGTCCCCCTGCTGGTGGGAAGTTTAAAATAAAATCATTAGACATGTTTTAAAATAAATAAAATGTATTTCTATATATATATATTTTTTTTTAAATATTTTATTTTATTATTGTAATTATACGTGTATATATAAATATAAAATATATATAGATGTATTCTATAATATATATATCATATATATGTAACGTCATTCTAAGAGTATTTTAATACTAATATATGTACTTATATTAATATTAAAATACATTACGTATCACGTTACATATATATATATATATATATATATATGATATAAATCTTATATATATATGTAACGTGATACGTAATGTATTTTAATATTAATATAAGTACATATATTAGTATTAAAATACTCTTAGAATTACGTTACATATATATGATATATATATTATAGAATACATCTATATATATTTTATATTTATATATACACTTATAATTACAATAATAAAATAATTAAAATATTTTAATATTTTTTTTAAATAAATGTAATTTTATTCTAACTGTATTTTGTTATATATATATATATATATATATATATATATATATATATATATATACACACACACACACACACACACACACACATATAATTACATAAATAACGACATAAGTGTACACGTAGACTTTAAATACATATATATGTATATATATTAAAATTCTACGTGTATATTTAAGTAATATTTTAACATAATTATGGGATTTAATTAGGTAAAATTTGATTGACATGCCTGACAACCCAGGCAAAAAGTGCAGAGAAATTGAATTGCAAGCGCTATATTTAACCCTGTAACTTTCCAAGACACCATAAAACCTGTACATGAGGGGTACTGTTTTACTCGGGAGACTTTTTTTTAGTAAAAGTGACCTTTTTTGCATTTTTCACACATGAACGGCACTTTTACTGACGATATTGTTGTAATACAAATTACCATTTTGAAACACTAATAATTGTGTTCAGCAAAGTCTCCTGAGTAAAACAGTACCCCCCATGTACAGGTTTTACGGTGTTTTGGAAAGTTAGAGAGTCAAATATAAGGCTTGCATTTCATTTTTTTCACATTAAAATTTGCCAGATTGGTTATGTTGCCATTTAAGACCGTATGGTAGCCCAGGAATAAGAATTACCCCCATGGCGACATACCATTTGCAAAAGTAGACAACCCAAGGTATTGCAAACGGGGTATGTCCAGTCATTTTTAGTAGCCACTTAGTTACAAACACTGGCCAAATATTAGTTTTTTGCTTTTTCCACACAAAAACAAATATGAACGCAAACTTTGGCCAGTGTTTGTGACTAAATGGCTACTACAAAAGACTGGACATACCCCACTTGCAATACCTTGGGTAGTCTACTTTTGCAAATGGTATGCCATCATGGGTGTAAATCTCATTCCTGGGCTACCACAGGGTCTCAAAGGTAACATTACTAACCTTGTAAATTTCAATGTGAAAAAACTGAAAAATGGAATGTGCTATATTTGACCCGTTAACTTTCCAAAACACAGTAAAAACTGTTAATGGGGGCCACTGTTGTACTCGTGAGACTTTGCAGAATCCAAATATGTACTTTTTTTTTTTGCAGTAAAAGCTAACAGTATTGTGACATTTACAGCTAAAATGTGAGGCGGAACTACACTTTTTTTTTTTTTTTAAATTTTAAAATTTCTCAGTTTTTTAAATTTTATTCATTATAAATTGTTTCATATATAAATATTTGATATGAAATGAAAGCCCTGTTTCACCTGAACAAAATGATAATAAGTGTGGGTGCATACAATATGAAAGAGGTGAATTACGGTTGAACAGACATATAGCGCAAATTCCAGGTTTTGTTTATATTTTGTTTTGATCAGAACGTGTACTATTGACTCCGTCCTGAAGGGCTTAAATATAATCCATCCACAGGGCTTGGACTATATTGGTGTTGGAATATAAAGTCCTAAATGTAAACTTCACTTTTTTTTTTTTCCAGGTTGGAGAAAGTATTTAGTTTATCAAAAGAAGATATTACGCCTAAGAAGTCTGAAGTATCTTCAGGTAAAAAATTTTTAAAAAATCTTTCATTGACTATTTCACTCTCTAATAGTTACATAGCTGAAAAGAGACTTGCGTCCATCAAGTTCAGCCTTCCTTACATTTGTTTTTTTGCTGTTGATCCAAAAGAAGGCAAAAAACAAAACAGTTTGAAGCACAATTTTGCAACAAGCTAGGAAAAAAATTCCTTCTTGACCCCAGAATGGCAGTCAGATTTATCCTTGGATCAAGCAGTTATTACCCTACATTGAAAGATTATATCCTTGATTATAGGAAAAAAGAAGAAAATGGCGATGAGATTATCTGAATATAGAAGACAGAAAATGAGGGGGTAACCCTAAATAGTTGGGAATTAAAGAGAAAGAGATTCTGTCCCTTTGTTAAAAATCTAGAAGATACTTTATTAGTCTAATACAAAAGACATTCCTAAATAGACTGCCTCTCTTACTCTAATGCGATACTGGTGGGTGTCTAAAACTAGACAAACCCAAAGGACCACCTATAGGTGCTGAGGGCGTATATAAAGGGAAAACATTGAACAAAAAATAATAATAATAAATAGGAATATATAAATATATCTGAGTGCAAGTTACAAGGTCTATGTGCACAATGATAGTGGTAGAGTCTGGAGTACAAAAGAAAGATTATCTCCAAGGCCCCACTAAAAACAAACAAACTAACTGCCTCAGTATAGATATGATAATCTAATGAATGGCTAGTTGTAATCACACAAAGGTGAAGATTTTGGCATATTGCAAAGATTATTATGCCAGAAATATCATTGTGGTAATTGACCACTAGGTGTCGCTGTAACCATGAATTCTTCAAGGCTGTTCACTTTATGAATTCGCAAAGATGTATCTAATTACTGTGTAAATGAAAATAGATACAGTATATTGTCAGGATAGTTGGCAAACCAAGTGAACGAAATGTAGCCTGTCTATAAATATAAACAGTGTCTGCTAATACTGACAGAGTGCAATAACCGAATTGATACCGTTAGATGCTCTGTTGCTGCTATGTCAGAGGGGCTAGATTGCACATCAAATCGAACAGTGCATTCATAAGTACCCCTTAGCAAGGGCAATATTATCAATCTATTCAGTGCGCTTGTGATACCTACAAAGGCTGCATATCAAAAGGTGCTTAATGCAATTGGTTACTAACGAGAGTTAGTTTGCCCATATATGGCTGTTTCACTCTCGTATATAGTATTTTGCACACTGAATGAAGGGCTTTAACACTCTATAGTTATCAGATTTAGCAAGCAAATAATTAAGAATACATTCTCAGGCTAGTATAGTTACAGAAGAAAGGAATCCATGGAATAAGAATAGTGCCTTCGTGGGCACCGGTTACAGTAAAGAAGTGTGATAGTCAAAGGTAGCAGCGTAGAAAGAAGTCAAAAGTATCATAACTACTGAGACATCGTTTGATTTGAACACTACCAACACCGGTATGTTACTAGTGATGCCGATATAGTCTGGTCACTATGTAAGCTCCCGTTTACCCAGCTACAGAAATACTCTTGAACGGCTAGAGGTCAGCACAAGTGAGTTCTAAAATGAGTAGATGCCGATACTCATTGGTGAATAATTGAGAGGGAAAAAATCACTAATTGCAGCAGATCTCAGTGCTGCTTGTAGGGAATTAGGGAAAGCAAACGGCAGTGTGCTAAGAGAATGATGTCGGAGTAAACCCGACGCGCGTTTCGCCTTGTTTAGAGGCTCGTCCTATGTCCTATGTAAAGTCCGGTTTGTGAATAGATTTCCAAACAATGGTTTGTATTGGCCCCGAATATATTTGTATAATGTTATATCCCCTCTCAGGCGACGTTTTTCTAAGCTAAATAGGTTTAAATTTGTTAACCTTTCTTCATAGCTGATATGTTCCATTCCTTTTATTAATTGTGTAGCCCGCCTCTGCACTTTTTCTAGTGCCACAATATCCTTCTTTAGAACAGGTGCCCAAAATTGCACAGCATATTCAATATGTGGTCTTACCAGTGATTTATAAAGAGGCAAAAAGATATTCTTGTCCCGAGAATGAATGCCCTTTTTCATGCATGACCATACCTTACTGGCCTTGGCCACTGCTGATTGACATTGCACATTGTTGTCTATAACAATTTGTTGTCTATAACAATTCCCAAGTCCTTTTCGTGTGTTATCCCTAATTCGCTTCCATTAAGGGTATACGTTGCTTGTGTATTCTTTACGCCGAAGTGCATAACTTTGCATTTTTCAACATTAAATTTCATCTGCCATTTGAGTGCCCAGTCTCTCTAAATCCCTCTGCAGCAAAGTAATATCTTGCTCACATTGTATTATTTTACAAAGTTTTGTGTCATCTGCAAATACTGAAACATGACTTTCAATGCCTATTTCAAGATCATTTATAAACATGTTAAATAGAAGGGGTCCCAGAACAGACCCCTGAGGGACACCACTTGCCACCTCTGCCCAGCTTAAAAATTTACCATTAATGACAACTCTTTGTACTCTGTTTTTAAGCCAATGTTCTACCCAAGAACAAGCGTTTTCATCTAGACCGATTTCCTTGAGTTTGAACACTAATCTATTGTGTGGAACTGTATCAAATGCCTTTGCAAAATCCAAATAGTTCACATCCACTGCAAAACCCTGATCTATACTTCTACTGGAGACCGTTTTTGTGTTAAAATTCGCAGGTGCCAGCAAATCAGATCCATGTACCTTGTGCAAAGTGGCTTACAATTCCCTTCTGTCCAGATCTTGTGTTGAGATGTAGAATCTGTCCTCAGGCCTGTCACAGCATTCTTTTATCGAGCTCCAATGCTGGTTGTAGAAGACTTACCTAGATGCTTACCTATAAACTTCTTCTAAATATGACCAATTCGTTCTATGGAATCCCCAATTGAAGTACCACAAATCCCCATACGTATGCTAGCCAGTAATATAAACAACTGTTGTATTTATCTGAGACAGAAATGTAGGCAGATGAACTACTGCAGGCCTTTGTTCCACTAGAGATATTTTTTAAGAGCGAACAGTTTATCAGTTTAACATTCTAATATGTTTATACTAGAACGTTTAGATGAAGGCACAGGTCACTGATAGGACTATACCCAGGGAGTTATGTTTGCATAGATGCGGTTTACTTGGTCTAAAGGGTTAATAGGATGAGTCCTGGCTGAACCTACTAAAATAATGACTGAGCCATATTGTTTATACTAATTTGGTATCGTTTCTGCTCCGAGGGGAGGAGCCACCCATAACTCAATGCTTCCATGGTTTCGTCAGGAAACGAGCTGCGTTTCCCTTTAAATTTAAAATTTTAAGCTGCAAAGTACATAAATACATTACCTGTTGCATTATTTGTCAACATATCCCAAATGTGCATGCCTTGCTTTATAAATAATATATCTGTATGGTCTACGCTAAAAGTAAATATCTTTTTAACATTAGAAAAAATAATTTTAAAGGCATGGTTAGTTTTTCATTTGGATATTTCCCTATTTGTTAAAGGAGCACTATAGTCACCCAAACGACTTCATCCAATGAAGTGGTCAGAGTGCAGTGGTTCTTTTAAAAAAAAAAAAAGTAAGTATTAAACTCATTTGTAGTTGCTGTCTTCCTGATACCCAGTAGAGGCACTTACTCCTCCAGATAGAATAAAACTTGAATCAAACGTAATCTTATTAGACTTAAATATGTGTTATCGGCAAAGGAGGGTGGGCAGAATGGAACCTATTCTCCTGAAATAATGAATATTATTTTTGGGTTTATAGGTTCTCTTTAAACCCAGTAGCTGCATTGTTCTTTAAGTTAAAACATGCATCCGATAGAATTAAAAATCTATTGTTGCCATTTTGTTTCTGCCTTGAAATGCACATGACTTCCTTCCCATGATGCCTTGTTGCACATATATCCACTCTTGTGTATTGCAAAGAGGGATTTCCCCAATATTGAGGAATGGGGCCAGGGTACTCCTGACATCATAACTAGAGGAGACTGTTGTGGTTATAATGCCTGTGGTAACCCTTTAACAAGGATCAGCCACTTTCACTTTACCAATAACAATTACTTCCCTGAGAAAAATGTTTTATTGTTAAAGTTTGGTGTTACTTATTTTATACAAACCTTTATCTGGTGACTGGTTTGTTAGCAGTATGATACAAAGGGCACAAGGTCATGCATTGAGACTTTAGCAAAGAGGATTTCACATACAGCAGCAACACTTTTTATTTTTTTTATTTTTACATTAAATAGGCATAGTGGGGATAGGTACCCAAAGAAAATTCAGCCATGCCTTTTAAGGAGAGCTGATTATATTTAAAGGACCCCTATAGGCACCCAGACCAATTCAGCTCAATGAAGTGGTCTGGGTGCCAGGTCCATCTATGATTAACTCTGCCTGCTGTAAACATAGCACTTTCAGAGAAACTGCTATGTCTACATATGGGTTAATCCAGCCTCTACTGGCTGTCTCATTGACAGCCGCTAGAGGCGCTTCTCACTGTGATTTTCGCAGTGAGAAAACGCCAGCGTCCGTAGGCAAGCATTGAGAATGCTTTCCTATAGACGGACTGACTGCGCGTGCGGCTCTTGCCGCGCATTCAGCAGATGACGTCCGAAGGAGGAGGAGGGTCCCCAGCACCGAGGGAGCCCGGCGCTGGAGAAAGGAGAGTGATTTTAACCCTTTCCTCTCCCTTCAGCCCGGCGGGAGGGGGGGCCATAGGGGTGGGGGGGACCTGTTAATACTATAGTGCCAGGAAAACAAGTTTGTTTTCCTGTCACTATAGTGGTCCCTTAAGCAAAAATATAAAAATAAATGCATTTGTGTATGTTTTTAGAAATATTAATACATGATTGTTTGTCCAGTGGTAAATCAGACACTTTGTAGGAGTTTTTTTTTTTTTTTTCCTACCTGTTTGTGGCAAAATGGGCATAACTTCATCATGAGGTTATGTGGATAAATGAGTTCTAAATGACCAAGCTAAGTTTAACTGCTGCACAGAGATTATCTCAGTCTTTCTACTTTCACCAGTTCATTAAAGTCAGAGCTGGTATTAGGCTTACTGACATTCAACCTGCTAAATCTGGGCCAGTATTATCATTTGAAAATGCATACATTTAAATAATTGTATGATAGTCTGCATAGTGCTTCTTTTTGTAGGGTGGAGAGTTGTTTGGAGGGTAGCAATCCTTGAAAACGTATAACTATGGCCACTTGCATTCCTGTCCTACTCAATACTTAAAAATTACTGCGATGGTTCCAGTGCTTGATTCTGGACTGGTATGCTAAATGTCAGAATAACTGCTTTCCGTTAATTTAAGCAAATGCATCTCCTTCATATTTCTCATGAATGAGAAGTGACCAGCAGGTCTGCATGCAGGTAGGTATGTCTGTTACTGTATGAAGTAGAAATCAATGGAAGAACAGGATTGGCTGAAAAGTACCTGCCATATCCTGCTTATTGCAGCAAGTTCTGTATGCAGATGTTGTCCTGGCATTTGACCATCTCCCAATGGCTCTGACTTTTGTTTTTTTTTGTGATCCACAGCCCAGCCGAAGGTTATCCCGGGAGACCAACTGGTAAACATTGCCAGGAAGAAGGCTAAGGAGGACCACGCTCAGCTGGAGATGAACTTGAAAAGAAAAAAAGAGCAAAGTAAATTGGGCTCCTCCAGCTTAACAGTTTTGGCTGACGTCCACATTAAAGAAGAGCCTCTAAGTGACGATGAAGCCATGGACACGTCTACCTGTGAGAGCATCAATAACGGGCTTGTCAATGGAATTCACATGGATGAATCTTCCAGGGACTCTGTCAATGGCCTCATCACAAAGGGAGAACGAGAACTTGTATCACAAGAACTGAAAGAGTTTGTGACTGCAATTTTTAGCAAGCAATATGTTTTGACTATGAGAGAACTGAAACGTTTATTTAATCTCCACTTGGCTGGTCTTCCTCCTGGACATATCCTGTTCAGTGGAATCCCCGACAAAATGTTGCAGGAAACGGTTCTAAGTGCTGGCTGTAAACAGATTCTGGTGCCTGTGAGTATACTCAAAATACTTTTTAGTATTAGGAAAATACTCTGTCACATTTCTATTCCCTGTATTTTTGGAGTGGTTTGGGTGTTTTTATTTGGCCCATTTTAGCTCATTGAAGGGTAGATTACCCAGCTATTGCAGGGCTAAAACATTCACAATGCTCTAGGGCAGGGGTTCCCAACCCAGTCCTGGATTTAGTGATTACTCTGTTGTGTCTAAAGTGTTTTTTGTTTTTTTCTTAAAACACCTTAGACACAACTGGGTAATTCCTAAATCTTGGACTGTTAGGGGTTACTTGAGGACTGGGTTGGGAACCCCTGCCCTAGGTGGTTCTGAAGTATATTGGGATGTATTGTTTTGTTAAGCCCGGTCTCATAGATGCAGCTTTGTCTTTTAGGTAATCTGCTTGAAGACAATTTCTCTGTTCTAAAGCATTCCCCTCAGATTTGTATGTGTATGTTATGTCAAAAGTACATTTCTTTGCGCCTTAGAGAGTCCATTGCTGAACCATGTTTGGTGGGTGCATTTTTATTTATTTTATTTTATTTTTTTACAAATGTGGATGCATTTTTTTTATTGTGGGTTTCTAAAAACAGCCTGCAAACGTTCCAGATCTCTAGTCTGCTGCATTTGCAAGCCCTCCCCTTCTAACCCTGCCTGACTTCCTGTGGCTATCCAATCACACTTCTTAATGAGAAGTCTTTGCAATGCTCCACTGAGCTAGCCAAACCAGAAACCAAATCAGTTGTCTGATTGAAGGGGGGTATAAGAAGATTGATTTATAAAAGTGCCCATTTGTCTTGAAACCTGCACTTTTTGTAAATCGAAAAAAGGACATTATGGAGGTTATTAGGAGTCTGGCGTGTCCCTTGTAGCGGCTTAATTATATATTTTTTAATTAGTTTTTTTTTAGCATTTTACAGTTGATGAATTAGTCTCCATATCAATGCCATATGCATAATGTGTGTCCTTGGTTAAATGAACAAAGACATTCAGCTTGCTGAAGTGCTTTAGAGGTTTACAGTGTCCCCTTTTTCTCAAAAAGTTTTGGTTTTGTGAGGTGAATCCTCTTACAGTTGTTTCCACAATAAGTCCAGGTACTCAGTAAGGCTATGCTTTGATCAAGGAACATATTGTGGCCGAAACAATGTCTTTTTGATACTCAGTGCTCCTATTAAAGTTAACCATACACCACAAGCCTGAGTGCCCAGACTTATTATGGAAATTGTGGCAATGTTTCCTGTGATCATTGATTAAAGTAACTCCAGCGTTCTAAATAACATTAATTAAATTGGAGTGTTAGCGAATTTGCTTGGCTCCATTTCCTGTTAAAAAAAAAAAAAAAAAAAGTTAGCTTTCCTCCAATCCATCAGTGTGTGAGCGTCTTCGCTGCAGCACTACTAGTACTTATAAATTCCTGACCAATCATGTGCTGAATCCAATGTTTCTCTATGAGAAGGGCTGGGTCACTATGCAGTCAGGACGAGCACCTTCCAGCCTTTATGACACCAGGGAAGGGGTTACTTTAGAGCTTTATAAAACTTTATTATAAAGTGTGAAACGAAGGACGCTATCTTAGCTCTGAAGCAACTCAGTAAGTCAAAGTGCTTTAGGTGTCTGGATGGCTCCTTTAAATAGAACGTTTTAAAGGATGAAACCTATCCCTCTCCACGGATTAAATCTCCCTTTTAGGACCGTGCTCAGTGTGTTGCAGTGGTTTCAATGAGCTCTGATTTCATGTCCAGCCATCTCCCATACTTAGGATTGTTTTATTTTCTAGAGCATTTTTCGTAGCATATTGTTAACAGAACTTAAAGGTATGAAACAATGAGTCTTACTAGTCAGTGTTCCAGGGATTCCATGTGCCAACCTAATTAAAAGCCCAAGGACCCAAGTCTGAGGCTTGAGTGACCTGGATTATACGTCTTTTAAAAGGATTTATTGTTCCCTCAGAAGAAATAATAGAACGTACACAAAGGCGCACATTCCTGCACTGTGGTGAGCCCTGGATTTTGTCTCTCCCTACTTTGCTTGTAATATTCAAGTCATTGTGTGTCTGGCTAGTGTTAACCCCTCTGACATAGACTGTGACAGCAGATGGGAGCCAGTTGGTTAATCAAGTCTGCCAACGTTGCTGTATTCTGTGAAACTAGTCTTGCGCGTCTCAAACACAGTGCAATCTCCACCAGCCTTTAACCCCTTAAGGACACACGACGTGTGACATGTCATGATTCCTTTTTATTCCAGAAGTTTGGTCCTTAAGGGGTTAAAAGCAAAAATGCCTTTTCTGTAAAAGTACAGCCCTCTGTCCATCCCTAACATTTAAAGGGGGCATTCCAAGCACCATAACCATTACAATTGTATTTGGGATCAATGGCGCGAGGTAGTTGTGAGTGACGTTATAGAATTGATCATCAAATGTTTTTTTTTTAATATTCTTTATTATTGTTGTGCAAAGGTTTGACAGACAGGCTTGTTATGCCGCGACATTAAATACAGGCATTTCAAGAGGGATAGTACTGTGGCAAGTAAGAAAAACTCAACTTTTTTTATTATTTTTTAAAAGTAGTAAACAAGCAGAAACAAGTTATGTCAGATAATGGGATTGCAGCAAGCATATTTGAAACATATTGTATAGGCTGACAATAACATTGTCATGGAAGAAAAAGTCTTGTAACATGCTAAACTATAATTATTTCTGTAGCTTTGTAGCCCCTGGGTACTATTCGTAAGGTTAAAGCAGATTTTAAGTTGATGTTAAACTAACATGCCCATTGTGAGCTAGAAAATAGACAGACTCCATAACAGTGGCAGGAATGTCTGCTAGATTGGCCAGTACGATATGGGATGTATGCATCCAAGGGAAGGATCCCGCGTGGGCCAATCCGGCTGTTACAACACTGCAGGTACAAGATTAACAAGCTCCCTAAAGTGGTGCATATTGATTAATAGGGGCATAGCCTTTCAATGGTGCAGCACGGTGCTCTAGTTTAGTGTAGTAAGTGTGTTTGGACTAACCTGACATGTTAACTACAAACAATCTCACAAAAGAAAACACTAGTCATGGTATTAGATAGTTATGAGCATCAAATGGCTTGTTAGAATAACTTGCATTTGACTGGCATATAAACATATTGACAATTAGAAAATAAACAATAACAATTAGAAAATAAAGACTCCCACTGAAGCTAGCAGCAGTGTTGTAAAGCTGTACTGTCTTAGAGAGACACTGCAAAGGTGTGAAGTAAAATGATCCTGAGCTAGTGACTGAACTTATGCTCCTCTCAAAGCACTGAATTAAACATATTATGCATTGGAAATAGACTGAGCATTGAGGGGTCCATTGACTTTGCCTGGCACTACTTAACCAATGCCCATTAATGGCAGGCTGCTATCCCTGGGGAGTATGAGTCCACCTTTCTGCAGGTGAGGGCACCACCTAATCCAAATGCCTGTGCACTCCTGTTCTGTGCCGACTAAATAACCACTTAGTCCAGCTTAGTCGGACTACGGCTTCGGTGCTGTCTCCATGCTCTTGATCGGTGTTGTCTGGTGTGACGGAGCGGCTTGCGAACGTAGATTTTGCTCCCTCTTGAGTGCTGCGCCGGAAAGCAATGGTGAAATGGTAAGGTGAGTGTTCGGTGGTGTTGTGCAGCATTGTGCTTCGGTGCCTGAACAGTCCGCCAGTAGGACATTTGGCAAGATGGACTCGCCTCCATGTGGGGCTGTAAACTAGCGCCTGATATGTGAACTGCAGCATCAGCCGCAATCTCCTTTGTGGCAGGTAAATCAGGGCGAGTGTGTCTGTGTTCCAAGCGCCGCCAGAATTCATGGCAGACGCGATCTAACCGAGCCTCAAAGCTCTCTCTCCAGGTCAGGATCTCTGGGCCCTCTTGAGACTGCAGGGGTTATTGCTTGGTGGCCATCTTGAGCCCGGCATGTGGTCTTCTTTCAAGCTGTGGAGTCTCTTGCTGTAGAAATGTGGATTTCCCCAGCCGGGACTGGGATAACCCCCACCGATCCAGAGGGGGGGGATGTGGGGAGGTTGGCCGCATTCCACGCTAGGCCGCCTAAATTGAGTGTGGTATATCTTGACAGAAGTACAAGAAATGTATATCCACGAGCCCCCACTCGATTCAGCAACGAGCTATTGGTGTACAGGGCTGCAATAATCACGATTGTGGCCAATATTTAGCACTGTTTTGTCAGAGCTCTCTGCAAACATGTCTAGCTAGCTCGACTGTCAGGCCCCGCTTCTTTCATCAAATGTTTTGATCTTTTCCAATATAAAAATGGGAGTTTCTCTGTATCCAAAGTACTCTCCGTCTGCCAAATTGATAATGGGGAGATTTCACATCCTCATTATCCATCCAACATGTATAAAAGGGTAAGCAGGGTTTGCATTCCTGAATTATTAACCCTTCTGGCTTTGCAGAATTGAGACAGGCTCGCTGGGTAACACAGTGAGTATGGAGTGTATCCCTTTATGTTCATCACTAATTTTTCAAATACTACTGATCTAAAGAAAGATGCTTCCTCTTTAAACTCTTTTTCTTTTACAAAAATCTTTGATGTAGGATTTAAGGCACCTCCAAAACTTTACAGTAATCAAAATGGGCCATTAAAGCAATCTCTTGTTAAACAGAGTGAAATTAAATATGAAAAATTACATGACTTGGAATTATCCAGACTGCCCGCCCTTCCCCCCCTTTCCTGGGTTCTACTTAGGTTTTTTTACAGGTTTTTTCCTTATGAATGCTCTGTATTAGTCCCATTAAATTGCAGTTATTTGTGGTTATTTCATGCAAAAAAACTATTTGTTCACCAACTGGTTATAGTCAAATTATGAACAATGAAAACAATTGCAAATTTAGAGCTAAAAGGAAGCTGTGTAGGGGAACATTTTCAAGACACTATATTTGCAAAACTTTAACATCACTGTTTAGTGAATAAACCAATTGGGATCGGGTCTAATTCCGAAAATACTGAACTATCTCCATTAATTTATGTAGAAAAAAAAATTAACAATTAAAACATAATACAAAAGAATCAGAGCCCAGGGATATACTTCAGACAGCTTTGGATATTGAAAGTGATGGCTTGTTATACGCACAAAAAGCTGTATTATTGTGCTTTCAGTTGGCTCACGAGCCAAGGAACCCTGGTGTTGGGTACATGTGTCCATTTGTCCATTTAAACAGCTTCTAATAATGTTTATAATAGGGGGGCTGTTGTGTTTAACAGTCTGCTTAGCAATTGTGGTTGAAAGAGCAGTTTTGCCATTTCTTTATATGTTCTGCTCTGGTTGGTGTGTCCAATTGTCAAAAAGTGAGGTGGAATAGGTTTTTTTTTTTTTATAATAAGGCTAAAGAGTAGATTGGTGGTTTCTTTCCAGTGAGCTTTTCTCAGGAGAAGTCGACCATACATGTATGTGTATAATTACTAATGCAGATCGGTGGCACTTTATGGTTGACACAGAAAGGGTTTTTCAGTAGTGTGAATTGTTGGGAATTCAAAGTAAGTTTCACATTATAGTCCAATATAGCCTTTGCTGACTTGGAAACTTGTAGCCTCAAATTTGAAATTCACTTTGAATTAACAGCAATTTATACTACTGAATAATCCAACTTTTAGTTTCAAAAAACAAAAACAAAAACCATTTTTAAAATATGTGAAATGCTTGGGGTAATTTTCTTGTGGGCTCTTTATTTTCTATTAATTTCTGACTTATGAGCCAAATAGCTTTTTTTCCCCCACTTAGATTTCTTGTGATCTCAAAACATGTGAACCGCAAAAAGCACTTTGTCAGAAAATCTGTTTTTGTGTCCGCCAGTTTTCAATTTCCTGCATCTGTTATTCACATGTGAGGGAGAGTGAAAATATTATTGCGATGGGAAAATCTCAAGGTTTTATATAGGCATAGTTCTTTCAGTCCACCTCATGTACTAGTTAGTCCAAGATTCTGAATTCCTGATTTGTGTTTCCCGGGGTATACAAATCTGGACCTCCAGTTGTGAATAAACTACAACACCCATGACCCTTGGTAAACAAATGACTGGACACAGACAGCCCAAGAATCCCAGGTGATGTAGTTATTTTTGCTATTGGGCCAGTAGTGCATATGTTCTTTCTTCTTGTGGGGTAGCACAGTTCTGATTTGTAGCCTGCCTGTGGATGACAAATGCTGACTAAGGGTCATGGGTGTTGCAGTTCAGTCACAGCTAGACAGCTACCCCCTTACATGCTGTAAAAACGTCAGCCTGACCCTGAAAAATATCTGGGCTCTTCACGAAATTAGCATGTGGCAGGAAATCAAGGGATATTCAATACTGGCTGACTTTGATTTTCTTTTTTCCTTTTCATAAATCTCTATCTTTTTTGTGTGTGTGTGTGTGTGTGTGTGTTTTAGTTCCCCCCACAGAGTACGGCAACGCCTGAGGAACAGAAAGTGTTTGCGCTGTGGTCCTGCGGTGATGCCTTTGACAAGGTAAATGCACTTTACGGTGGATATTGTTTTTCAGAAGATGTAACATTTTATACCAGATATCGCTGCACTGGAGTAAAGTTAAACGGGGGCCTGTTAAAAACACAATCCCAGGTTATTTTACCATTAGCACCTGTTTATGGCACTAATCACGCATGTTGTTTTTCTGTGTAGCTGAGGCAGGCCCTACTTGAGCTCTTCTCTAAAGGTCACCGAATGCGCAGAAACCACATCCAGACACAGCTGAGCCAGGAGTTTGGAGACGGCCTCAGTAAACAGCAGCTGGACAAGGTGTTGAAGGTACGACATGTGAGGAGTTAAACCCATTTGTAAGCACAGCTTGGACAAACTGTTTAATTGGCTTATCAGCTCAGTGATGTGTGCTTACCAGACAAGTGCCCCTATAGCAACTCCTGTACCAGGGATACCACCTCACAGCCTCTTAAAGCAGGCCCTTTTAACCTTTTAGGAGCTGTGTGTGTGTGTATAGAGCACAGTCACTGGGATGTGTCAAACGTAATTCTTAAAGTGTAACTTCCTAAAGACATGTTTACTGGGGTGAAGAGTGCAACAGAGGATGTTTATTTTAAAAAAAGACAAAAAAAAACCCACCGCACATCTGTCGAGTGACATCTCATCATAAGGCTCCATGTGCAATCATGCAATCGAAAAGAAATGAAGGTAGAGCACATGCATTTCTTCAATCGGGGGTGTGAATGTACAGCATTGTTAGGGTTATATTGATTTGCTTGGAATGGTCTGGCTGTGCCAAATAGCGTAAACTACAAATTTAAAAAAATCAGAGACCCGCGAGCAGAGGGCAGGATGGCTCATTTGAAATGTAACTCTTTGTTTTGAATAGCCGTCTAAATTCTAGCTCTATCCTGAATGGCTGGAAATTTCAAACTGTGGTCAGTGACCTGAAACTGCATCAACTAAAGCATGTAACCTTAAAAATCTATTATTTTTTTTTTTTATAATGTTTGAAAATAACATTCTAAGTTTAGATTACTGGGGCTCCCCTTGTTGTTAGATATTTGTTTTGTTTTTTAAAGGGACACTGTAGGCACCCAGACCACTTCACCTCATTGAAGTGGTCTGGCTGCAATGTCCAATGTCACTTAACCCTACAGTGGTAATTATTGCAGTTTCTGAGAATTATTACCTTGCAGGGTTAAGTCCTTCTCTAGTGGCTGTCTACAAGACAGTCACTAGAGGGACTTTCAGGTGCTTAGATGACTTTTGGCTGTCTAAATAAAGTTGGACGTCCTCACGCTATGCATGAGGACCTCCAGCATCACTGGAATCTCCATAGGAAAGTATTGATTAATGCTTTCCTATGGGGAAATCCTAATGCCAGCGGCCATTGCTGCGCATGCACACTAGGTCTCCCCTGCCGGCTGACTGTGGGAGGAGCCTGACCCAGCACCAAGGGACATTGACGCTGGATTCACGTAAGTGACTGAAGGTGTTTTAACCCCTTCAGCGCCGAGGGGGGGGGGTAACTTTAGCACTATATAATCCATTTAAATGAAAAAATATTACAAAGCTAGTCTCAACTCCTTCTCTAGTGAAGTCATTAATTCTAATGACTTTTGCCCAATCCTGTGCTTCTCACAGCTGGAAGTTTCATTGAGCCAGTGCATTTAGTGCTGTCTGTCTGGTAGCTACTAAAGGTGCAGTGTATGCAAATATAAACATTGCGTTTTGTCAGAAACAGCAAAACTTTACATTGCAAGTGAAAAGGGACGGGATCTTTTGACCTAAACCACTTTCGTTAGATAAAGTGGTTGTGGTGGCTTTATATCCAACGGATGGCTGTACAGTTTAGGGTTAATGCATTAGTTTCAGAGTAATTACCCTAAATAGTCAGTGAGTTTATTACAAATTGTGTGTTTTCTGTTCCCATTTAGGAGTGTGATATGATATTCTGTTAGAAAACAAGTTCTCAGGCTGTGCCTCAATAACTGCAGCTGTATCGAAAGCCACACGTGTACAGACCTGTGGCCCCATAGGGCTTACAGCATAAATTGGGTGTCTGCGAATCCGAGCAGAAATGTAACTCGAATAAAGGTTTCGCTTAGTCACGCGATTTTAATAGGATTTTAATTCTTAACTCTCTTCACAGGACTGCTGTGTGTGTTACGGAGGAATGTGGTATCTTAAAGGCACCGTGCAGTCGTGACAATGACAGCAAAACGGCAGAAAACCAATAACAAAGTGACGCAGGCACAGAGTGGGCGGCCCCTGCCCTGGATTGTGAAGGACCGGTTATAGCCTCACACGAAAATGATATCAAGGGCACAGGGGCACGTATGTGTGTGCGGACTGAAGACAGAGTGTTCCTAGCAGGCAATATGTTCTTCTGGATTATTTAATGTATTTTGGATTTTAAACATCATATTTTTGTCAAAACCTGATTAAATCTAAGCAGAAGTGCACATGCCCAGTGGGTAATATGAGAACTCATGGAAATTTAGTTTTTTGAAACTGTGCCATCATGATGATGAGGATTAATTTTTTTATTTTTTATTATTATTATTCCAGTTGCTTTTGGCCAATTCAAAACAATCTTCTGTTGAAATAGAAATTCCACAAGCCATATTTTACTAAACATGATCTCCAAAGTAACAGATTTAAAGACCTAGGCTGTTACTGCTGTCCATTGATACATTATTTTGCAAGCCTGGTCAGTTTGTTAATGGGTTAAAGCCTTACGACCCAGTAGCATGAAATTCTTTTCCCCCTCTGTAATTGAACGTCTACTCTAGTCCAACCATTTTGTCATGCAGTCAATATTTAAAAATGTATTTATGCATCTTATTAAAGAAGCCCACATTGTAAAATGTCTCTTTTTTTTATTCTTTTGCAGTTATTTGCTTCCCAATAAATAAAATATTCACCTTTAATTGTCTTCCAAGTATCAGGAAGAGTATTTTCTAGGCAGTGGAGTACATTGCATCCTTCTGCAAGGATTAAAACAAGTCTCTTGGAAAATATTTATTACGTTGAATAAAGAGGAACATTCGAGCAATAAAAACAAATATATTTAAATCAGATTAGTTCCTTTTTTTGTTTCGATTTCAGCCTGTCCATTGTTAAAAAAATAAAATTAATAAATAAAACAAACTTGCCTTTAATCAAAAATGTAGTCCATAGTTTGATTCGCCCACAATGAGACCATAATGCTTGATGATCTGAGGTCCAACACTTCTCACATTTGCCACACTTTGTACAACCAGTGGGTCTCATAGAGAAGCATCAAACCAAGGCTCCTCTATAAAGAAGCATGAGCCACATTTGGCGGTGTCATGCTACACATACTGATGGCAAATGTCAAGACGTTCAAAAATCAAAGGTCTTATGGTGGAAGCATATTTAGTGACTGTTTATCTGACCGCCACTAGAAGCATGTTTTCGGCCAAACATTGCCATTACATTGTCTAAGGCAGGGGTGCCCAGATGTTGTAGAACTACAACTCCCATGATGCTTTGAATGTCTTTAGAATGACAAAGCATCATGGAAGCTGGGGATCTACCTTTTGTGCACCCCTGGTCTAAGTAATGTTATCGTCCCTGTGCACAAAAGCCATTTCATTAAAGGGACACTATAGTACCCTGAGGGTGCCCCCACCCGCGGCGCTGAAGGGGTTAAAACTCCTTCAACTACTCACCCTTCTCCCCCGCCGACGTCACCAGCGTGAAATGCGCATGCGCGGCACTGCTCCGCGCGCAAAATGTCCATAGGAAAGCCTTTTTCAATGCTTTCCTATGGACGCTCTGCGTGATTGAGGCATAATATGAGAGGCTGGCTTAACCCCAGATGTAAACATAGCAGTTTCTCAGAAACTGCTATGTTTACATCAGGCAGGGTTAACCCTAGAGGGACCTGACACCCAGACCACTTCATTGAGCTGAAGTGGTCTGGGTGACTATAGTATCCCTTTAAAAAGGACACCACTGCCCAAATACAAACTGAAAATCACTGGTTAGTAATTATACTCCCAATGAAAACATGAATGCATTTTACATTGTGGGTATAACTAAAAACAGTTGGGAAAAGCTGCAAATATAATTTCTGCTGTCTTTGCAAGCCCTCCCCTTCTATTCCCGCCCAGACTTTCTGTGGCTGTCCAATCACAGACTTCCCAATGCAGCTCAATGAGAAGTCTTTTCAGGGCAGGTGCTCTCCGCAATTGCTGCCTCTTGAGTTTATATCCACTGACCTAACCAAACCAGGAAGTTACAGAACCGGTAGACTGACAGTCAAGTGAATGTAACAAGGTTATTTTACATAAAAAAGCCAATTTCTATTGAAATCTGCACTTTTTATTCAATGGGGGAAAAAGGGACATACTCTGCACACATAAAGCACTTCGAGTGCTTTTAGGGGTCTAGAGTGTTTTCTTTTGGTGCGTGGATAACTCAAACAGGCAGTCAGCTGCTGAATGCACTTACTAATCTGATGTTTGCGTATGTGATAGCTATGAAAGTGTTCGCATTGAAATATAAATTTTATTGCTAAGAACATGCGCCAGTCGGTGTTTTCCCAAGGAAAGCACTGGGATGTATTTGCATTATCAGTGATGACGCTGTGTGTCTGTGTTGAACAAATTGCTGGAAATATTTAGATGCAGAAATAAACAGGCTCAGAATCTGTGATGGGGAATATTTTTTTGTGTGTGTGTGTGTGTGTGTAATCCAGGTGTTTGGGTTTTTTTTATAACCAGACCAATACAAATCTCATGAAAATCAGCAGTGTTTTCTTTGTAAACGAACCGCTATGAAAATTTACACAGTTCCCTCGAAGAAGCTACTTCTGGTCTCATATCTGCCCTTTGACCAGGTATAATAATTGCTATGTAGTGGTTTATCAACCATTAATGAACGGAACTGTCAAATATTAACCAATGATAAGCTGAAATTATAGGTCAATGTTTGGTGCTGTTTCTTAGGACAATGAATCTTTTAACCCCTTAAGGACACATGACGGAAATATTCTGTCATGATTCCCTTTTATTCCAGAAGTTGTGTCCTTAAGGGGTTAAGCATTCTACACAGTGATGCTTGTGATCTGTGCATATTGTAAAGACTCACCCACAGGGATTTTTACTAAAGTGAGATTTGAAAGTGAATTTCAATGCCAAAACTCTCCATCACTATAGTCACAGCATGACGACTTTAGTCTGTTTGCCTTCATTGTTAAATTCGTTACAATTCAAAATGAGTGAAATAAGCGTGAGCTGTAGTGATGTGAAAACATTCTAAAATAGCCAAGACTATAGCAGAGTGGGAGATTTGCACTCATTCTATAAATCTCCACCGATATTCTTTGGACGATGAGTCGAAACCCAAAATCTAATCCCAGCGTTATTTCAGCGAGTTTCTTATGGCCTTCATAAATTAATTACTGAATGCAGACTCCTGTCACTGGGAACTTTGTAATGAAAATGTTTGATGAATTTTAGTTATGTTAATTGAAGAACAGGTTGTCAATATAATGCATTGTATACATAGTAACTCTTTATACATTATGTAAAGTATAAATTGTCTGCCTTGTTCTTCTTCATACCTGCTGTCACACCGCAATGTTTGTCTGGCCTCTGGGTGTTTATTCACGGAGAGGAAGCACCTATTTATGATTCTTCAGGACTTTAGTTTCACATTGAATTTTATTTTTGGGATGTTACATCATTCTGTTTTAGACTTTCCAGAATTTGGGAAGGCTGGGTAGTAGGGTTTTTAAAGGATTACTCCACGCAGCTGTAATGATTTTAATGCCAGGAATATCGAGGTTATGTTCCGTGGCTCCAGTGACGCACTTCAGGTTTCGGCAGAGCTGTGTAAGCTGAATCAGTCGCTATTCATTGGCTGAGGTAGTCAACTGACTGAATAATAATTTGCATATAATTGACATTAGCCCAGAATGCTTGTGCTTGGCTGGCTGATGACACCCCATGATGCTGGCGGAGGTGAAGTTATACCAACGGCATACCCAGGGGCTAAACTCTGTATGTGCAATGTTTCACAGTGAAATGTGGCACATACAGACTTAAATCAAGTAAGTGGTCATGCTGTATAGAGGAACACTTTAACCTTAGCTGTGTGATTAGTGAACAGAAATAATGTATGTAGACCCTTTGTATATCAGGTCTTTTTGTTTGTAGTCATATATCCTGCTTAGAAAAGCTGTGAAATCAGAGTTTTTAATTACCTTTCCTAATGCCGTCAATCTCTGTGTAGCTGGTTTTGCAACTCATGGGACCTTCAAGGAACACTATAGCGTTACGAATACAAATGTGTATTTCTAATCGTATAGTGCCATGGTCACTGTTTAAGTGACCCAACCACCACTTCCAGGGGTAAAAGTTTACTTATATCTCCATTAAGTGCTCACATCTACTCAAGTGTTTTTGTGAAAAGGGTTTGGCTTTGTGTCCACATTTACTGGGGAAAAAAAAGGCTCTTTAAGCCAAAATGAAACCGTTCATAAGAAGTGTCCACTTAAATGTTTGATAAACAGCAACAGATTATGGATCATCAATTTGTAGCAGCTGAATTGTCCTGGCTTAACCGGGATAGATGCAGGCCCAAGAGTATGTTTTATCTCCTCTTGCTAATGCAGCCACTGAAACTTCTCACATCGTGTGAGATTGACTTGAACAAGATTCAGTGGAGATCCACTGTTACCTCGAATTTGGACAAACGAGAATTGGTCTTTGAAATTTGATAAGAGCATTTTGGTTAGACCAGCTGATAAGGGGGAGGCCAGCGTTGTTCTGGATACTGAGGATTATGTGAATGAAGTATAGCAGTTTGGAATTGAGCAACATTATAGAATGCAGCATATGGATCCACCTAAGGTAATACAGTTCCTCTGTAGTGGATTTAGTGGAAATGCTCTAGAACAGTATTCCTATCACTATAGTTCCTAGAGTAGGCCCCCCCGTCCTGTAGCGCAGAACCCTTTTTGTCACTTACTGAATCCAGCGCCAATGTTCCTCCTTCCCCAACTAATACACACGCACAGTGAGCATATTAGGACTGCATAATGTTTTCTTATGGGATTTTGGGTGATGCTGAATGTCCTCATGAATTGTGTGAGAATGTCCAGCTTCAGGCAACCAAAAGTCTCCTAAGGAACCAGAAGCACCTCTAGTGGCTGGTAGACAGGCACTAGAGGTGGAGTTAACCCTGGATAGTAATTATTGCAGTTTCTCGATAAGTGCAATAAATTACTTTTGCAGAGTTAAAGGGACTGGGAACCTGCCTGCAGACCACTTCAATCAGCTGAAATAGTCTCCCTTTAAGTTAAAAAAAAAAAAGTATATATATATATATATATATATAAAAAACAGTGATCAAGATAGGATTACTTTAGAGTCAGCGTTTGTCTTGTCACGTGTATTTTCTGATGTTGCCCATTTTAGAAAACATTTTCAGATCGGGAGCGCGACATTCTTACTGCATTATTTAATGATCTGAAAATGGCCAAACGTGAGTCAATGCCGATCTGAATTATTATTCCAGAATTTCTCATTTATTTCCGTCTTAAATGGAGGTGATGGATATAAAACAGAGAAATATGCACACGTACACGTTACTAAAAGGAAGAATCTCTCTTATTCCGTTCAGCATGAACTACAGGATGAGCAAAAAGAACAAAATACAATATTAGCATTGGTTACTTTGCCATAAATATATATTACTTATATAAAAACCAAGTTTTCTTTTTCTAACATTAATGCAGTTTCCGAGCAGTATAATGCTACACATACAGGTTACCTTTCTAAACAAATCCTACTTCTCCTCTACACTAGGTGACTTCTAAAAGAATGCACATTGCTGGGTTGCATTAATAAAGCCATAAATATGGTTAATGTCAGACTTCCATTAGCATTAGTTTTCTATGTTGGGATTAACATTTAAATAACATATTGTGCATTTCACAAGTCACCTTAAGATACAAACATTCCTATTCTCCTTCTTGAAGGTCCTTATTACGCTTACCAACAACACAAACAGTCTTATCAAAACATCGCAGTATAAAACATCACATATTTCCCAACCAACTGCATTGTCCAAAGGAGCGAACAAAACAAAAATAAAACATTAAGCTCGACAACTGTCCGTTAATTAGATCAGATAAATATTTAGCAGAACAATGCATCTTCTTCCAGTCATAGTGGCTCAGTTCTGTTTTTACTTTTAACATTCAGACCTCAAAAGGTTGGTTTGTCCTCCCCCCCTCTTTTTACCATTTCTAGAATATAGCACAAGGTACTTTTATTAATATAGCTTGTTAGGGGCCTTGATATAACACTATACTTGCATATACAGCCTAAACGACTTATGGGGTAATAACATGACATCAGCTATCTGATCCTTGGAAACCAACTATAAGTAGGACAATTTATATTGGTTCTCTAAAGAATCAGATAATGACTTTACAGGGGTAATACAAACATTATTGAAAAGGATCAAGGGAAGGAAAAAAAAAAACAACACTCCTAGCACCATAACTACTACAGGAGTGCATAGGCACCATCCCACAGCAAGTAGTCAAGAACAGTTTGATAACTTACCTGGGTGTCCACTGCCTCCTCCCCTTGTGCTGGAAAATCCAGCAAAGAGCTTCTGTTAGTTCCACCAAGTTTAACCCTGCTGTGAAAGGCTGGCTCATTGGCCAGCCCCAGTTTAGTTATCAATTGTTCTTAAACTTTTAGACTATTCTGGACAGGTGCTAGGGCTCTAGACTAGGCTGTAGTGGTTATGGTGCTTGGCGTGCCTGGTGTGGCAGATAAAATCCAGCCTATTTTCAAATACACATGAAGTATCCAAGCCCATCAAGCAAAATAAACACTTTAACTACTTTTAAACAGGTTATAATAAATCAGAGCGATAAGTCCAGGAAATAATGTGGCTTAAACATTTTCATATTAGTCTAGTGGTTGTCAAC